GAAGAGTTTTGTTTTCAAATAGAACTAACGCGTTTATGTTCGCAGTATATTTTCATGGGCAGTATAAAGGTTCTGATGGTCTAATAGAAAAATTTGACGAAATGAAAATCTTTACAATTCGTTCAGACGAAAGTCTTGAAAAAACTCTAAATGACTTTCAAACTCAAATGAACAAATACTACTGGGAATTTCAAGAAAAATACGACTCTTTACTAAATGGAACATACTATCTGAAACTAGAATATGACAAGATGAACTCCACCGTTTCATTTCAAAAGATTGAAATTAACCCTCCAAGAGATACAGAGTTTTTATATTGGGGAGTAGACAAACGTTCTTGGGCACAATTTCTTCGGTTACTAAACCAGAACGAACCATTACCACCAGATGGTCCATTTAAATTTATACTCCCACCAGCAGATTTGACAGTTTATAGAAACGTGTTTGACCCTCAAAATGTTATGTGTCATGCAAGTTTCAGTTCAAGCAACAACAGTTTTCTTTGTATTGGTAAGGACTTTTATGACTTTGCTTCTAAATTCTACGAACCACCTAGTAACAGTTTCTCTGACTTTCAAGTTTGGTTCACAACAAATGGTATGCAGCATATAATACCATTGTACTATGACTTTTATCTCGAATTGTCTTTCATATACAACTACGGAAAAGTATTGAAAAAGTATTGAAAAATGAGTTTTGGTTGAAAAAAGAGGTGGAGCCAAAAGTGGCTCGACCTCAAAACAAGCATTTTGTGAAGAATATAGCAACCGTCGGAAAACAGCGGGTTGGTTTTTATACAAAATTCAACAGGTGAATTTTCATGAATTTCCTTAAGACAGAAAAAATATATTTTAGGTGGAACCAGGTCCCTCGGTCCCTCGGTCAACTAACATCTTTTTGAAAATGGTGACAACATGACATTTTGACAACAACACAGGAAATAAAAAATATATTTTAGGTGGAACCAGGTCCCTCGGTCCCTCGGTCCCTCGGTCAACTAACATCTTTTTGAAAATAGTGACAACATGACATTTTGACAACAACACAGGAAATAGACTTCATCGTATATGTTTTGTCATGATTTCATCGTATATGTTTTGTCATGATTTCATCGTATATGTTTTGTCGAAACTTCATCGTATATGTTTTGTTAAGACTTCTTCGTACATGTTTTGTCGAAACTTCTTCGTATATGTTTTGTCATGATTTCATCGTACATGTTTTGTCGAAACTTCTTCGTACATGTTTTGTCGAAACTTCATCGTATATGTTTTGTCGAAACTTCATCGTATATGTTTTGTCATGATTTCATCGTAAATGTTTTGTCGAAACTTCATCGTATTCTTTCACCCGTTGAATTTTGTATAAAAAAGCAACCGCCGGAATTCCGGCGGTTGGTATATTCTTCACAAAATGCTTGTTTTGAGGTCGAGCCACTTTTGGCTCCACCGTATTTTTCAACCAAAACTCATTTTTTTCGGCAAAAATATATTTTAGGGTAGATGGTTTTTAGGTGTCACCAGGTCACCAGGTCACTCGGTCACTCGGTTAAACGAACTTCTCTGAAAAAATGAGACAACATGACATTTTGACAACAACACAGGAAATAAACTTCTTCGTAAATGTTTTGTCATGACTTCTTCATCGTAAATGTTTTGTCATGACTTCTTCATCGTATTCTTTCACCCGTTGAATTTTGTATAAAAAGCAACCGCAGGAATTCCGGCGGTTGGTATATTCTTCACAAAATGCTTGTTTTGAGGTCGAGCCACTTTTGGCTCCACCGTATTTTTCAACCAAAACTCATGAATTTTCCCGAAATAAAATATATTTTAGTTTTTTTAAAAAAATATTTTTTATTTTTATTGTAAGAACATGTTAGCAACAACTTCACCAAACTCGTTAGTCATGAACCCAACTTCAATGTTAGTAGAAATGAAAAGCTTCATTCCTTCTTCATATACTTTCGAAACAGAAATCCAGAAGATAAAGCAGGAACTTCTCCAAGGAGATTTAGATTGCACTGCAAAAGATGAAACAAATGAACAGTATCTTTATGAAATGCAGGACCTGGTGGAACATCTACCTAAACTTCCTGAAATACAACAACAAAAGCTCACTATTCCTGAATTCGATGAAAATAGAATGAAAACCAACTGACTCAGTAGAAATAAAGAAGTTCATACGAAAGGTAAACTATGAGTTTCTTGGATTTCATTGCAACCACAAAGTCATGGACATTGACATATATAAATCTGGGGAGTTTAAGACCTACGACAACTTTGTTTCGTTAGTTGCAAAATGTGTATGGCAGATAAGAGATAAAGATAGAAGAGGTAAAGTATGGAACGGACAAATAAAACCAGCAGCCTTTGAGTTAAAGAAAACCATTTACGCCTTAGTCATACTTGCAGGACAAATTTCAATGTACAATGCTAAAATGAACCCACAATGTTCAAAATGTAAAGCAGCAATGAGGAAATATAACTACTCCGTCAAAGAGATAGAACGTATGCGAAACGACTATGCTGACTTAAAGAAAGAAGTAGAGAAACCAGCAGAAGATAAAATGGACATGTTGACATTTCTGAACAAAAACTATCCAACTGCTGACGATTTCCTTCTATCTGATGTCAAGAAGAAATATAAAGAAACCTTCGGCATAGTTAAAACTTTTGATATCCTTCGTGAAGAAATAGAAGCTACAAAACTGTTTAAAGTCATGAACCATCACAACATATACCATGTAAAACGCTTGTGAAACTTTATGGTAGAAATATATTTTTGTCTGATTTACGCTCATTTACGATGAAGTCTTGACAAAACATATACGATGAAATCATGACAAAACATATACGAAGAAGTCTTGACAAAACATTTACGATGAAGTCTTGACAAAACATTTACGATGAAGTCTTGACAAAGCATATACGTTTAGTTTCGATGAAGAAGTCTTGACAAAACATATACGAAGAAGTCTTGACAAAGCATATACGATGAAGTCTTGACAAAACATATACGAAGAAGTCTTGACAAAACATATACGAAGAAGTCTTGACAAAACATATACGAAGAAGTCTTGACAAAGCATATACGATGAAGTTTATTTCCTGTGTTGTTGTCAAAATGTCATGTTGTCACCATTTTCAAAAAGATGTTAGTTGACCGAGTGACCGAGTGACCTGGTGACACCTAAAATATATTTTTGCTGAAAAAAATGACCAAATTTCATGAATTTCCTCATATGTTTGCGACCCTCGGAAAACCGAGGGTCGAGATTCCGTACGAAAATCGTAAAAAATTGCGACCCCGACTTTTACAGGGGTCGCCAAAACTCTATGAAAATCGTAAAAAATTGCGAGTACGTAAGAAATCTTACTCGCCTAAAACTCATGAAAATCGTGAAAAAATGACCAAATTTCATGATATAACTGTATTTTTTTTACGAAGTGAACTTTGACACTTCGTCAAAAAAATCCCTGAAATCGTAAAAAAATGACCAAATTTCATGAATTTCCTCATATGTTTGCGACCCTCGGAAAACCGAGGGTAGAGATTCCGTACGAAAATCGTAAAAATTTGCGAGTAGGGAAAAAAACCTGGTCGCCAAAACTCTATGAAAATCGTAAAAAATTGCGAGTACGTAAGAAATCTTACTCGCCTAAAACTCATGAAAATCGTGAAAAAATGACCAAATTTCATGATATAACTGTATTTTTTTTACGAAGTGAACTTTGACACTTCGTCAAAAAAATCCCTGAAATCGTAAAAAAATGACCAAATTTCATGATATAACTGTATTTTTTTTACGAAGTGAACTTTGACACTTCGTCAAAAAAATCCCTGAAATCATGAATTTCCTTAAGATAGAAAAATAGAGTTAGTTTTTTTAAAATATTTTTTTTTATTTTGTATGTAAGAACAGAAAATGACAAACACTGAGTTTGAAACAGTTAAAAAGATAGACAATGAGACCAAAGTGGTTAGAATAGGTGATTTAAACGTAAGATACTCAAAGAAATACAACAAATATTCTTTGTCAGACATTTTAACACTATCTGGAAAGAAAGCACACGACTGGGTTAGAAATGCTTCAACTCAGAAAATTTTGACAAGAAATCCTGAGCTTATGATATCGGTAAGATTCTATGGAACAAGAGCATATCTCATCGACAAAAGTCTTATACCGATAGTTTTGTTATGGTTAGACCCAGTTGTTGGATATAATTTCATAACATATGGTTCATTCGATACGGAACGTTGCAGTGAAGGCTTACTTTACATCGTTCAGAAACCGAAGGACTTCAATACAAAGAGATATAAGATAGGAAGAACATTTAATATAACTCAAAGATATGACAGTACAGTCAATAGAGTCAAGGTTGTGTTTGTGAATGATATGAGAGCTGCTGAAACAGAACTACTTGAAAAGTTTGAGAAAATGTATGGTGCTCCCACGAAAGGTAAAGAAACGTTTGAAGTAGATGAGATAGCTAAAGCTATAAAATTATTTGACGAAGTTGCTGAAAAATACATGTAAAGCGTTTATTTTTGGTCTTTTATACAAGACAGAAAATAACGCTAGTTTTTTATAAAATATTTTTTTTATTTTGTATGTAAGAACAGAAATGTCAACAACAGAGAACACAACAACTGCTATCGTTCATGAAGATATAAATGAAGAATACGAGTACATACAGTATAACAAACAGTTACGTCTCATTCGTTCGGTCAAAGATGACATGTACCAAATGCAAAGTATTTTGAATGCTCTTCGTTCTACAAAGCAAACATATCATTGGTTTGAAAACCAACAGACAAAAGAACTTTTAGAAGAATTTCCTCATATGTTTGCGTCCCTCGGAAAACCGAGGGACGAGATTCCGTACGAAAATCGTAAAAATTTGCCAAATGGTTTGAGAGGTTGGTATGTACATAGACTTCTTGTAAATGCTGTAGCAATGTGGGCTTCACCTCGTTATGCTTGTTATATTTTCATGATGTTAGATGAACTATATAAAGCAGAACGTGAAGAGATGGAAAAGAAACTTCAAGCAAAAGACAAAAACATACAGAAAAGAATACCACGTTCGGTACCAAAAGGAAAGGAAAAGAACTATAAGTATATGATTTATACTGAAGAGATGGAAAATGAAGAAGACAGAGATATGGTTATGTTGCATTTAGTCAGAAGAAACAACAAAAGCTTTTACGACTTAGCTAAGATTTACAAATCTGACAGAAATTGGTTCTATCGCGAAAACTTACCGATTTCAATGACACCAAATGAAGATGTGAAACAAATAGTTCAAGATACGTTACCTCAAACACACTATGATATGAAAGGTTGTACAATACTTACATTCAAAGAAGATTTGCCGCTACTGAAAGAAAAAATAACAGAGTATTTTGACAACTTCAAACAAGCAGAGTAGATGAACCATTTATTTTTCAAGCTTGACACCAAAGATGGCTCAGGTAGCTCTATAAGGTAAATTGTCTTGTCAAATCCTTCTGGCATTCCGAGTCCTTCCATCCGACAGGAAAAAAATTTCCCGACAACTGGAAAAAAATTTCCTTCCAACTGGAAAAATTTTTCCTGTTGTTCGTCCGTAAACCATTCAAATTTTCGAAAATTGAGAACTTTTTGGCCGACCTTCAGAAAAAGTTTTTCCTTCCGACAGAAAAAAATTTTCCTTCCGACAGGAAAATATTTTCCCGACAACTGGAAAAATTTTTCCTTCTGGCATTCCGAGTCCTTCCTTCCGACAGGACACAAACGGACAACTGGAAGAACTCTTCCTGAATGTCTTCCAAAGCCAGAAGAACCGACAGCCCCAGCACCACAACAGACTAAGACTCAACACTTACATTTTTCAAGCTTGACTTTTTACAATTTGAACTTTGTTTGCGTAGATGTGAATTCTGAAAGAAGTATGAGGGTCTTGTATGACTTTGTACTTCTCCCATAGTTCATGTCTGTCAAACTTACCTGCCATGGACTCTTTCATAAGTTCCATGAAATCGTCTTCGGACAATCCGGGGAAAAGTACAATGTCAGTAAGTATTCTCTTTACATCCTTACTTAAACTCTTTGCTGTCTGTACACAAATGACAACTGAAATGTTAAAGTGTCTGAGCTTCTTAAGAATTCGACACATGTCTTGTTCTCTGTTCTTTAACAAAGGATGAGAAGCAAAGTCATCTAAGATAAGAAGACATCTGTGAGGGTAAGTCTTCCAATCGTAAGATTGCAATTTCTTCGAAATGTATTCTATCTCTTTCTGTTTGTTTCTGAAGTGTTTCTTCTCTAATATTCTCTGCATTTCCTCATTTGGGTCTTTAAACTTCGAATTGACATACTCATTTATAGCATTGTACTTCAAAACTCTTCTTTGGTACTTCTTTATCCAATCTAACAACTCAGAGTCTTTTATACATACTAACTTAGACTTCTTTATAATATCTTTGAACGAATTGACGGTTTGGTCAAATTGACCCGAAGTACTACAAATGACTACTAACTCATAGAATGGGTTCTTCTCATCTAGTTCTTGTTGTTGTGCAGCCATTTTAAGATAAGTGAAAGTCTTACCCGACCCAGGTGGTGCAATTAGACCTGTTATACCATTCTGAGCAAATAAGAACTTGTCATGTATGGGTTTTATCTGAGCATTTTCCAACTTCCTCTTGTTCTTGTTTAAAACATTCTCAAATTTCTTGTCAATGTCAGCAAACTTTTTTTTAACATATTTTTAGAAAAATTAAAATTTTTATCTTTTAGAAAATGTCTAGCGATTTCGCTATCTATATTCGAGACAAGCTTTTCGACAGCAAAACATCTGTCGACCATAAAATCTTACATAGTGTAAACAAGAAAGGTGAATTTGTTCTAAAGTTCTGTTTCTGGGAATATGACAAGAACCATAAAACATTAAGCAGAGCAGTCTTAAAATTTGTCAATGACAGACTTGTTGACAGAGATGACGCCTCTTGGAGAGATGAAGTCCAACAAAACTTCTTAGAATGCAAAGAAGACACATGCGCTGTTCTTGAAAATGAAATAGAAAACAGAATAGAAGAGCTATTAAATGACAAAGCACTTTTACAAAAATATGGTTCTGAGAAGTTTGACATAACTCCACCAGAGAAGAAGAAGAGAGAAAAGAAAGAAAAGAAAGTAGAAGAAGAGAAGAAAGAACCAGAGCCAGAGAAAAAGAAATTTGACATGTAAAAATAAAATTTTATTTTTAGAACATTTCTGGGTCAATGTCAATGTTCTCTTCCTCTTTAGGAGCAAACCCGGCTTAGACTCTAAAATCTTTTTACCCAATTTACCTTGAACTTCAACTATCTTAGACTCATAATATTCATAGTCGTCTGCTTTCTTTGGTTCATAAGGTATAACAAGTTTGTATGCTTTGCCTTCTTTAAGGCTTGAGAACCTTCTGTCAAAACTTTTTTTGACTGTTAACAAACCTTCTATGTCTAAGTCTTCAAATTTCGCACCATTTTTAGTCACAATAGCAAACTTAACTGGTTCGATGTTCCAAACTTTGTCAAATGTAGACTTTTCAAAATGGTAGAAGTAAACATTCAAATATGTGAATGGGTCTAGTTCTTCTTTAAGTCCTGACATGTACTTGTTGACTGAGATGAATTTTGTCATCTTTTCTATCGGATAAAAAAATGTTTTTTTTTAAAATTTACTCAGAAAAATTTTTCTTTGTATATACACCATTCTGAACATCTAAAAGACTTTTGACATTTGCCAAGAATGTTCGTTTAGACGCTGTCATATAACCATACTCTTGACAATATTGTTTATACGAATCGTACAATGACCTTTCATCTAAACACTCAAAGTCAGTTTCATCTATGAACAGTTCATATACACTCTTGTTTGCTTCTAACAATGTTTGTCTCTCTTCGGTATGTGGAATTTGTCTTGGATTGAACTTAGAAATATCTAATGTCATGAAATATGAGAACAAGTGGTTGTAAAAGTCAGATGTCAAAGTTTCTGACAAAGCGTCAAAATATTCTGTATCTTGCATATGAGAATCTGACGTTCTGACAACTACATATCTTCTGTCAGAACTTTCTAACTTCATCGGAACAGCGTTGTTTGAAACCATGATGAAATTTGCAACATTTTCACAAACTCTTTGGTCTTTATACTTTCTTTCAACAACTCCAACTTTGTCTGTTATAAGACTCTTCAAAGCATCCGAGTTCAAAACTTTTGTTGTATCTATACTTTGAAGTTCGTTACATACTATAAGTTTCATATTCTCTATTGAAGAGTTAAATTTACCGCAGATGTTTTCTAAGTTTGTCATATTAGGGTTCGAATAGCCCTCTAACAGTTTGCACAAAATATCTGTAAAGAAAGTGTTCTTACCTGTTCCTTGTTTTCCAATTAAATGAGAGCAGTTTCATTTTAGCACTTGGATGTTGTAAGATGTTTGCAAACCAACATAAGATATACTCATAGACTCTTTCGTTTCCATTGCATATAATTTCTTTGACATGGTCTAACCAAGCTTCTATAACATTTTCTTTCCATTCTACTTGTTCGTATTTATATCCAGTGAAGATAGAATAGAAGTTTGGAGAAGGTGTATAAAACTTTATACCACGAACTGAAAAATCTTCTAACTTTGACAATAAGATATCCCAAGCATCTAACATCTTCATGCCAACTTGTACGAACTTTTATTTTCTTAAGTTTCTGTTTACATTCTTGTTCTGAAACTATTGTCGCTTTAGGTTTGTTAAAGACTACATCCCATTCTTTCATGACATAACATTCTGGGGCAGAGTCAACATAAATGACTAAACGTTTCAAATTCTCGACTGCTTTGTTATAGTCTCTAAATGGACACATATTTCTGAACGCTTGGAAGTCATAAAAATCTGAAACATCTATTCTGTACATTTTTATAAAAATAAAAAAAATATTTTTTTTATTCTTGACTTTGTTGTTCTTGAGCTATTTGTTGTTGAAGTTGTTTTTGTAGTACAATACTTTCACCAGTTGCATCTTCCAATTCGAAACTTTCTGCCGTCATTGACAAATACATAGGACATAAAAGTTTTACAGGAACAAAGTTTGCGTCAACTAAGGTTAAGTTTATGTTTGCCAAAGTGTTTGAGTTTACTAAAGCTGAAAACTCTGCATTCGAATGAACAATAGGCAAACCAGCAGAGAAAGTGTTGTTTATACGCATGAGTATCTTTTGGTCATAGTAGTTTCTGTCGACATTCGAATAGCACTTTGAACCTAAGTTTGAAACAATATATAAAATAGGTGTACTTAAAGTCAATGGAACAGACAAACCTTGTATGACACCTTTTCCTGTTATAGGAAACTGTTGGTAGTAAAAACCAGATATAAGTTTTGTATTATAGCTCATATCGTTTATACTAAACTCAGTCGGACATCCAAACATAATGAAACCTGCTCTAGTTGCAGCACATGTTACATCCGTCCTTAAAGTATTAAATAAGTCAACAAAACCTGTTGGTGGTATATCTGAGTAAGTATCTTCAAAGGAGTATTTTTTACCATTCACAACAACAAAGTCTTCTGGTGTCAAAAGAGCAAAACAGGCTTTAGTCGTCATCGTGTTTAAGGTCAGTTTACAATATCGTCCTTGAGGACTTTGTAAGTTTGTTGTTATAGAATTATATGACTCAGGGTTTTTAGTCGTAATAGTATAAACCACTATGTCTTCTGCCATTTACATATATTTAAAAGTTTTTCTGAAAGTGGAGAAGAACTTCATCTAAACTTCACATGGCGTTTCTTGAAGTTCTCTGTCTAAGAAGTTCAAATATTTTGTAAAGACATAGAACTTTCCTTGTCTACACGAACAAACAAAACAGGGTCTTTCATATCGTTCAAAAGTGTGTAAAGTCCTTTACATGAAATAAAGTCTATATTATTTTTCTTCAAACATCTTTCAAGAAGTTTTGACATTTTTACTTAGCAAGTAAATTTTAATGAAATGTTGTGGTCGTCAAATATTTTTATGACGTCTGGGAAACTATATTTTAAGTTCAACGTTTCACCTCCTTTCATAACGTATATCTTGTCAATGACATTATATGAAACACCAAGCAAGCAATGTCGGGTTCTATTTCTTTGATGTTTATATCGTCTGCCTCTGTCAAAAGTTTCAATAGTTCTTTCAAAACTTCATGAGGTGCAATGACATATGAGTTCATTTTACAGGGTTGTGTTCGACCAAGTTTAACATTAGACCTAAAGCTTGACAAATCTTTCCTGAGTTTTAGTTTGTCTTTAAGTTGTTGGTAGTCATTTCGAATATCTGCAACAGAACTTAAGTCTCTGCTAACTTCAGGATATGTTGGTTGTTCTTTTACAGGAACTATTGTTATACCATCTTCTTCTTTGTATGGTTTCCCCACTTCAACATCTCTGTCTTTGACATTGACAACAACACTTTGACTGTTTGTTTGAGTTGGTGAATTTAACTTCACATCTGCCACCGCCATTAAACCTTTTGAAACACTTACGCTTCTATTTTTCGGAAATGACATTTTACTTAGAATAAAAAGATGGACGTATTTGAGTATCTCTTCGAATTGAAGCAGAACAAAGTTTACACACACAAACAATACAAGTTCATTGATAGAATAGTTCTTTACACAAACAATGGAAAATGTTATAGAATAGCAATATTTGCTGAACCAAAATATTTTCATAAAGCAAAGAAAGTTGGTATAACCGAAATGGTGAAAGTTCTTGAAGCAGACAAAAATATAACAACAAAACTGACCGATATTTCTAAAGGAAAGTTTATAATACAATATTATATCAAAACTGGCGTACTGTCAATATTTGACGGAGAGAAGTCAGTTCAAGAACAACTTACTGACCTGCTGCCAAAATCTGCTCGATGGAAGCTGTCGTTATGCCAATCTGAGGAGCCCCAGCAGGTTTCATCGAACGAATCTTCAAAAGAGCATCTTCCGTGAAAAGTGCTATTGGTTTTGTAAACTTCTTTGCTTTCAATTCATCTGGACCGTCTCTGTCACCAGTATATTGTATTTGAACTGTACCAACAGTTGAAATACCACCCATAAAGTCTTCTGAGTCAGCAAATGGAATGCCAAGCCAAAAGTTTGAACGGTCTCCATTTGTATATTGAGTTTTTTGAGCTCCTGTATGGGTCCATACTTTCACATATGGCATAATAGAACTTTGCATTTCAGGGTTAATGGTTGTTGTGAAGTTGTTGTTAAAGTTCATAGCATCTAATGTCAAGTTGTATGACCTCATATCTTCAACTGTAGAATATTCTTCTCTTGGATAATATTTGCCATCTATGTTTATATGATATTTAATACCAGGGTTGTAGAAACAAGAATAGTCATTTATAGTTCGTCTGAAAAGAACAAACATAGTATCTGCATGTTTCATTGCAGTTGTTAAAGCAATATCTGTTCTTGCACCTGGTTCAGCACTTTGGTTTCCAACTTCACCTGCAAAGTCTTTGACAGATATTTGGTGTATAGGGAACATAAGTGGAACTGCAATATATTTGGCAGCTAAAGCATTTGAAATATCTGGGTCCAACATATAGACTGCAAGTCTGCTTTCTATTCTCTTGCATTCAAACTTTTCGCATGTGAACTTAACTGGGTCCCAAGCAGTTCCAGCAGCATTGAAATAATAGTTTACTTCAGTGTTGAAGTTTGAGAAACCAAAGTCTAAGTCAACTTTGTCTTTGCAAAATTCGGCGAATGACGTTTGATTTGCTCCCTTTACGTCTGTAAGAGTGAATGGGTCTTGTGTTGGTGCAATGACTAAGTTATTTTTGCTTGGAGTAAGTTCGATAGAAATTTTTCCTGCCCAGTTTGGCAAGTATCTTAAAAACCTGAAGATGAGGAAAGATGACAAAGGAACTCTAAGTTTCAGTTTTACTTTGGTTACTGCTGCTGCAGTTTGTCCAGAAAGGTTAACATAAACTCCTGGAACGTTAGGGTCAAGTCTTCTTATTTTCTCAATAGTTGCATACTGGTCTGTTTGTTCTCTAGCTTGTGGTTGTACTGAGTTTCTCAAAGCGAACCATTCATAGTTTGCCCATGTTACTGTTTGAACTAAGTCAGAGTTAGAATATATCTTATATCCCATAAAAACTTCTGGAGCATATTGGTATCCGACATAGAAAATTCCATTGCAACCTTTCTTGTCAGACAACTTGGCAGAAGGTTTTATTTCAATGTCTTGTTCCACGTATAAGAAAGAGTTGTCAATAGAAATTATATGAAACCTGTCGCAAGCAATATCTACTGTTGTTGAAGAACCTTCTCCAAACTCACCTACGTTTCCATATGAAACAGCAGTTGTATATTCGTAAGTTCCAGGAACTATTTCTGACCTTCTAATGGCATTGTCGCATTCGTTATACCATTCGGAAACATTTCCATTCATGGCATCCAAAACTGTTGGCGTTATATTCTGAGCGGCGTACATTTCATATGGGTAAAAATATAGAATAGTTGGATTTATATGTCATAATAGAACCCACGTGGACCAAGCTTTACTTTCTTCCTGACTGAGTTTTTAACTCTTCTTTTTCCTTCATTGCCACTACTTTCACTAGATGAAGTTACTTCTTCACTACTTTCACTTTGTTCTACTCTTCTCTTCTTCTTTGGTGTCGCTTTTGGTAACTTGCCCTCTGCTTCAAGTTGTTGCATCTTTGCCTCATGTTCACCTAGTATGTTGTAAATTTCCCATGTCCTTTTTGCCTTTGGGCTCTGGTCGCCCATCTCAGGTAACCTATATCCTAGAAAGATTTTGTCATAGTTTGTATTTGAGTCTTCGCGTATTGTTTGCATGACTCTTTCCTGAGTTTCCGGTTCAAGCTCTTCAAACAGAGCCTGTCCATATGGAATAAGCTCGTTTCCAAATATATGTTTTTGTAGCCATTCTGGTTTTCTTTCCATGTTACCAACTATATCTTTTGTGAATGGGAAAGCTTTTACCCAACGCTTCAGTCTTGCGTCATTTATTTCTGTAGTTGGTTTTATTTTGTCAAGGAACATGTTTTTCAATACTAACATTTCATTTGGTACTGTCCATTTGAGTTTTCTTAAATATTCATCCCTTCTCAGTTCATTGTCTGCAAAGTAAGTTTTTATGACATTTTGTAAACTTTCGTTTGCAAGGTCATGTACAATAGGTTCTCTTCCTTCTCCCTCCCTAACTTTCTTTCTAAACTCTTCACCAAATATACCATCTTTATGGTTCTGTGTAGTTCTTTTAGATAAATGTTCTAGAACGTCAGGTGTTATATTTCCATCAGCCATGTTCATTTCATACTGGTCCAAAATATCTGCATGTTTCATATCTTTCAATGGCATTAAAGCCGCGCTGAAAATACCAGCTATATCTGGTTCACCATTGACTTCCATTGCGTCTACAACTTCTTGGAATTGTGGTTGTAAGTTTATGAACCACCTATCCGGGTTAGCTTTATGACCCCATCTCATTGTAGTTCCATAGTCTGCAGAAACAAAAGTAGGTTTGTTTCCATCTTGGTTAGGTTCTGAATGAACTTTAAACAATGTTTCATTTCTATATGTTTTGGTGAAATTTAACCTTTTATTTCCACCGAGTTCATCCAAAGATTGAACGTTGTATGCTCGTAAGTAAAAAGGGTTGTTGTATTTGTGTACATTTTCTTTCAGTACTTCCATTCTATGCTGAATATTTTCATCTGGTGTTGGAGTCTTTTGTATGTCGGCAAACATTTTTCGATATTCTTCTACTATGTCAGCCGAATTTTTTTTAGACTCTTGGAAAGATTCCATATTCACCTCATACTCTTGTTGAGGGTCAAGATTTTTCGGCTGTTCCAAATCTTCATCTAGTTCTGTGAAGTTAGTTTCCAAAGGAGGGACTTGTTCGTTTCCTTCAGGCTCTTCTAGCTGTTGTTGCTGAACTATTTCTTCCATGTCTGGTTGTATCTGAACTTCTTCCTGTTGAGTTTCTTGTACCTTATCTCGTGGCATTTCATATATTCCGAGACGGTTTTTAGCAAATTCCCTATTTAAGTCATCCGCATTCATAAACCTTTCTTCTTTCGTTCCGTCTCTATTTTTTACGCGTTTTATGAAGAGAGTTGAATCGTCATTTAGCTCTGACATCAAATATCTCGGAGTAAATTCATCCATGTCATTTGGATGATATGCTATTAAATCATATCCCTTAGCGAGCTTGTATTTTCCAGGTTTGAGATTATATTCGATTTGGTGCTGAGTCATAAAGCTAAATAGGTTCGGGTCAGTATTTCCTTTCTTGAACTTTCTAATAGCTTCTTTATATCTGTCACTAAAGTCAATACTATCTGGGTAACCATATTTTTCCTTAAGCATTTTTAAGATTTCTTGGTTTCCTTGTTCTGTTTGTGGTTGTTGTTGTGCAGGGTTTTGAACTGTTGGTTGCTGTGCTGGTTGTGGAGGTGGTTGTTGTGCTGGTTGTTGTTGTTGTTGTGCTGGTTGTGGAGGTGGTTGTGTTGGTTGTTGTGTTGTTTTTGGTGCATGCCTGTGTCTGTGTCCATGTGACGATGTAAATGTTTTAGGTAGTCCTGGTGCAGGTGCTTCTCTTGGAGGGTTTGGTGGTATATAAATTCCAACAGCTGGTATATAAGTTCCACCAGCTGGTATATAAGTTCCACCAGCTGGCACATATGTTCCATCTGCAGCGTAATGTCCTACCTGACTTTTCGTTTTTAAGAAAGCATTTACTAGGTCTGTTTTGGTCTGTTGTAACTCTTTTTCTTGACTTTCCACAACAGTTGCTCTAACGGCGTCATAGGCACTTTGAACTGCCTGTCTCGTTGCTGCATCTGTTATTTTCGTCATATTTTGTGCTACTTCTTTTAACTCTTTGTCGAAACCTTCAGACTTCAGTTTCTTTCCAGATGAGAAGTCGTTCACTAGTTTCACCTTACTATGAAGAGCTTCGAAGGCGTTCTTAAAGTCAGCATTCGTTAAAGCTTCATTTGAACTGTCTTCATCCGCTTGTATTTTTGTCCTTATTGACCCTATAAGTTGGGCTGCTTTAGCGTTGGCTTGGGCATCTAACCAGTCATTGTTAGCTTTTATATATTCTGCGCTTTTCATTGCCTTTTGCATGGCTGCGTCGTTATTTTTACTTTCTTGTGCTAAGTTTTCATACTGTACGGTTTGGTTTTGCAACTGTAAAAGTTTTTCTGCCTTTACATTTGCTTCAACTTCTTTTTTATACTCATCGCTATCCATATATGTCTTCAGGGCTTTTTGTTTTATCTCTTCATCTTTCAGTACTTTATATTGAGTAGTATGGTTTTTCAAATTTAAAACATCTTGTTCCATTTTTGCTACTTCTGCTGCTTTTTCTGACACTTTTTTCGCATATTGCTCTGTACTTAGTTCTTTCAGTTGTTCTTCTTTCTTCTTTTTCTCTACGTTTAACTCATTGAGTTTCTTTGTGTGTCTGTCATATTCTAGTTTCTTTTCGTTTTCACTTATTTGCTTCTGTATGTCTATGTTTGACTTTTTGACATCTGTTATTTGATTTTTGAGTGAACTCAAATTCATTTGACTTTGAGGGTTATAGGCTGTTCCGTCTGCAGCTCCACCATAGCCTGCCATTTTCGCTAAAAGTGCCGCTCTTAAACCTCCACTCTGTGCACCAATGACTCGGTTTAAAAGCGTAGGGTTGCTTGACATTTGTTGCAACATAGTGGGGTCATTCATCATTTGTTGTTGCAACTGTTGTTGTGGTGTCAGTTTTACTATTGGATGTTTCAATGCTCTCTTCCTCTTACGTATATTCTTACGTAGCTTACGTGGCATTTTAAGTGAAGTTAAAAAGCGGCTTTATACTAAACATCTTCGGGGCTAGAGGGCACGAAGTGCCTGGAAGCCCCACTTCCTTTTTTTTTTTTCTTTTTTTTTTTTTTTTTTTTTTTTTTTTATTTTGCGAAATTTCCTGAAAATATCGATAGGAATCGTCGATTGTTGCGATTCGTTTTTCGTCAAAGGGAAGAAATCCCCTATTTAATTGACCGGATGCAGCCCCTAAAATTTCCGATAGTTTATTTTCTATCCGTTCCTAAATTGAGATATTTACACGGAGATATTATAAAATTCTGAAATCTAAACTTATGTCTCCATAAAAAAATACTAATGCATTGTGATAATAATTTATTGTTTTCTTAGAATCTTTATTTATTTTTTTATAAATGGATCCAATTGCTGATCCATCAAATATCAAACTTTATTTGCCAAAAACAGATAATGCTATTGTTGATGCCTTTGAAATGGCTGTCTCTTCCTTCCAAGTTTCCTCTAAAATCGAAGGCGCAAAATTTTTTATTCCAACTAATGCAGAAATATTAAATTCAAATAACTCAAAAGTTGAAGAAACTTCAAATTCGGCAAATCAGAAAGAAACACCTTTGGATGAACCTAAAAATCTACCAAAGTTTAACATTTTAGATAAAAGACCAATTGACAAACCAATTCAAAATCAAGAGCCGAAGTCTAGACCTGTGTTAAAAGAAAAACCTATACAAAAAGAAAACAAAACTGAAAAAGCAAATATAAAATCGAATGATAAGCAGCAACATTCTAAACCTAATAAAGTAAACGAAAATGAAGACAAAGACATGAGTGATTCAGCTAAATTAACTCGACCAAACCCAATATATGTTTCTCTACCAAATGCTTTTCCACCTGAACCTCCATCAATGATGGCACAATCTACAAGTAATGCAGTTACATTTCCACCTCCAATTCCTATCGATAATGATCCAATTCGAAATCATATGCTTCATGCTTGGTATTGGGCTGGCTATTATACAGGACTTGCAGATGCTAGGCGAAATCAAAATAATGTACTACCGAAATGATCATTTTTATAAAGGTACGGACACTCTTTAACCTTATTTTATTAAAAATGCTAGGGTATTTTCAAGGATCATATCTCCCTATGTATTTTATCAAGCAAGCCATCATTGGGGCAATGCAACAGAACATAGCAACCTATACTTTGTAATAGGATGTTAACTCGAATGATCTCTCTTTGGACTGATTATATTTTACAATTTCAGTAAATGTCGTTAAAAACTATTCACAGTAATAGGGTAGCTTCTAAATTGATTAAAACCAAGAATTACGTTTACAAAAGCATAGATTAAAAAATGAAATTTCGAATCGATAGTATCCAGCCAAAATTTTTGTTAGATAATCATATACATAAATCGCATTCAAATGGTAAATGCACAGTTAAAATATACAGTAAATCGGTCAATACAATTTTTGTGTAGAGATTAAATTGCGATGTTAAAATGCATTTATGCAGTTTTGCAGAAGTATTTTGACTTTTATTACCAAATTATATTTGTTTGCCAAGCAATTACTTGGATTTCATGAGATTCATTCCAAATTGATATTTGAAATCTTACCACACTGTTATTGTTTGATATCGTAATCAATAACCATTACCAGGAAATTACGAATACACTTAGATACATTTATTCTATTGACTTGTTGTTATAGAAATAAAATCATTATTAATTTACCTGCAATTTGTATGATATATATCATTTCTATCATAATGGCTGAGATTTGATCAGCTTTAAGTTGAAGAATGAAAAAATTTAATATCAGAATCAAAAAATATTGCAAATTTGCACCTCAAAAGGATTGAACTTCAAAGTTCTGATAATAATACAACAAGCTAGTTTTCCAAAAAATATTCTAAATCTATTTTTTCATGTGAAAAATCAAATATTTGATTTTCATTTTTCTTTTTATGAATTTTTTTTGGAATTTTCAACTATGTCTCAGGACAGAAAGATTATTGCAACTTTATTTAATAGCATATAATATGATGAGTTATATGTTTATTTTATACTCATATTTTTAATCACAAATATCTAACCAAATAATATGCAATTTTATTACAAATGTATTACAATTTTCACAAATATGAGCTACATCAGTAAAACACGTCGATGAAAAGAGCTTAAAACAGATTTTTAGTCTATTTATTTTCATATTACAAGTTTTAACATGCAATGTTAAAATTGTAGTAGATATATGAGATCATTGAACTTGTTAGTACTACGTGCATGATAAAGTAAGCTTCAATTTTAGACCAATATTGTAAATTGAATCAAATTTACGGTATTATATTGATATATAATTCGTTTTATGATATAGCACTGATATAATACTTGTGCTGAATTGTACCATCGTGACATTTAAGAGATTTTTCTCGATAATTCTGGATGATTTAATTTCTCTAGATTGTATTTGCCGATTTTCTCCAAACTACGTATTCTACATATGCATAATATGTATAGCCTGTATCTGGAGTTTAAGGCCAAAAATTTGGTTAGAAGGGAGTGTCCGTACCTTTATTTTTATATGATAATTTCGGAAAAAACATTTTGGAAATTTTACATGGCAAAAATCAAAAAATTTCTGACAAAAAAAATTCCACTTTCAAAGTTATAAATGAAGCAACCAAAACCAAAAATAACAAAGTGGATAGTACTTGTAAGGTGGCCGTTTCTGGTTAAATCCATTAAAATCTGGGAAACTCAAATGGGAATAAATTTTTTTTTCAAAAAATTCGGGCCTCCGGCGGCAGCGCTAGCCCTTCGGGCGCGTTGGCGCCGCCGGCCAATGACAAAACCAAATTATTTGCAGCTAATATGAAATATGCCCTTATTATTTTTCCTGATTTTTTCCTCCTTCTCTTCTTTCTCTTTCTTTTCTTCTTATTTTCCCTTTATTTATTCTCTTTTCTCCAAGTTTTTAATTAAATATTAGAAAGATGTTAAAGATACATATAAAATAGTAGTATTAGTGAATTAAAAATCATTAGATAAAAATATTTTGTTTCTATTTCAATGTTTTCGATCAAATTATTCAATTTTCAAAATAAATATGAAGCAAAAGAGTTTCTAAAGAGTAATATTACATTTCTCATCTCATATACTATAGATTCGAATTTATATATACCAAAAACCTACTCAATATGATATACATTATTAAATTTCGCTCATAATTGATAATTTAACAGCTTTTTTAAAATGTTAAACCTGTTAAATTTAATCTCTGCAATGCTAGGCTTGATCAATAAAAAAAAAATGTAAAAATCGAAATTAAGTCAAGAGATATTGATGATATTAATAGGTGGGGCTTAATATTTGTAATATATCGATATATCCTTACACTAGACCATACAATTGAGATTTATAGAATCTGGGATAAAAAACCTTGAGGTAAACCACCGAGATTATGGTTTTGGCTAATATGAAGTGAATATAGTTGATCTTTCAATGATATATTTGAATCAATGCCTTCTTTTATCAAAGGATAATCTAATTTTGTGGAAGAAACTTTTATCTTAGGAAAATCGTATTGTTAAAGCACGCTGAGTCATCCTAGGAGAAATTTTTGCTAACCCATATATAATGGGGAACCTCTTCTTATTCCCAGAAAACTTGTGTGGCATGGGGAAAATTGAGAACTTTTTTTACAAAATTGAGAGATTTTGTAAATAAATTGAGAGGAAAAAATGGGGGAAAGAACACCAGAATTGGTAATAAAAAAATACATGAGATTCGCACAAAATTAGCATAGTAAGCACCGCCATGAATAGTAGATGTATATTGCAACAGAAAATTATACGGGAAACGAATTTAATATCTCCAAAAATATTTTGAAAATCAAAAAATAAAAAAATTTTATTACCATATAAACCAGATTTTTTTACCTTGGGGTACGTTTCCCAGCGGTTATTAACCAGAATCGGCCAGCTTAGTACTTGTGTAATAAACAGAAATTCATCAAAAGTGACAACTCTCAATTTTTTGACATTTGTAAATTCTAAATTGAATGAGAAAAATGAAATAATACTAAGCATAATACAATATTCTAGATTTAATTATAATTAGGAAAAAGTTAGTTTTGAGAGTACTTTTCATAGGCATATAGAATGAAATCTTCTGAAAAATAATATCACATAAACTCATATTATTTTCTAATATATAACTATTTTATATAAAAATCAAATTCAATGATCTTAAAAGCGAAGGATAAACCTCAAAATTTACGAATATAATGAGTGGGAATATAATGCTTATCTATCATAAAACCATATGAAATATCAATTTTTGCTTTACGCCTAATTTTTGACGACAATTAGCAAAAAATGTTAAATGTTAACACTCAGTCCATTTGAATATGAAAAATAAAATTGACTTTGATTAAATGTTTTTATTTATCATGCAATTCTTCTTGCGACCAAAGATTTGAATAAAAGTTCAAAAAATAAGATAGCTTAAAAAATAATATACGGTAGTGTTTACTAATAGATGAATAGTATATAAATTCTATTAAAATGGATTTGATCCAAAAAAATATATAAAATTTGATCATAAATAAAATCGTTTTAAATTACTTCTTCATTTAAATTATAACAATTATTTTTGATTTTATAATTATTTAGAGTATATAAAAATATCTTTGCAATTGAAATTTATACATATACATACAATTTAAACAGATATACAAAAAAAGTAAATAAAAAATTAATCTTGAGGAGGCTGAACTTGAGATTCATCCTCTATTTGAGGTAAATCGAAGTCTTGTATATTCGAAATATGTGGGCGATATTTTGATTGAGGAGTCATATGAACTCTAAATCCGAAAACTTTCTGATCAAAAGGTTTAAATTCATCTGATGTATCAAAATGGACAAATTCACAAAGGAAAAGATGTGGGAATGCAGGTCCGAAGTAAGCACCATCAATTGTTGGTGTTTTAGGAGCTTTGTAAATATCACAACATTTTGGGCAAAAAAGCTTAACAGCATGCTTCCTCAATGTTGAGGATGTACCCATTGGCAATAGATTTGTTCCATTACACAAAACTCGAGGGCATTGACCGAAAACTCCTGATTCGTATTTCTTTTTCATTGAATACAATCCCTTTGGCTGTGTAATCCATCTTGCATGTAAAAGACCGTAAATTCTTGTTGCTTGCACATGTATCTGTTTGATTTTATCTTCAGTGAAATCTTTCCATTTTTCTGAGTGTTGATCTGAAATTAACTCTATTGCTTCATCAAAGTTTTCAAATAATTCTCTAATGCCATACTGATTAAACCAATCGGTTACCCAATCTATATCAATTGCAACGTACCACCTGTTTTGAGGTAAGTTACAGAACTGAAAAATCCATGGATCAGCACTAGGAGGACACTTCACACATGGACCACCAAAAAGACGGAACCCATCGTACTCAATAATCCGTGGAGCGCCGTCTTTATTCGTCATATAAAAAAAAATAAACTTTAGAGCATAACGGAGTAAGTTAAATTTCATTATTAAAAGAGAAACAAAAAGAGCATCTACTATAAAAGATTTTTTACCGATAAATATTGGTATAATTCTCAAGAAATCAAATTGATAAAAAATATCTGATAGTTTTTATTATGAAATTTTAATATATTTGTTAGAGAAAGATAGTCTTTGAGTGAGATTTCTAACTCTGGCTTATATTGGGTAAGTTATCAAATCAAAATTAATTGATTTCCACTGTTCAAATGTTCAGAACTTACGCTCATCCAGAAAATCGAGAGTATCTCACTAAATGAAACAAAATTGAGATACATGTTAACGAGATTATTACTTTCGTATATGTTTTCGATAAAAACTACAAAACACGTAATGCTTTCAAAGGATTTTGAATGACTTTAAGGAGAACTTGATTTGATTGGATTGATTTTGTTGCTTTTGAGAAAAATTTTATAAAAAATAAAAAAATTTTTTAAAAAGTTATATATAAAAATCAAGTTTTATTCATTGCCAACCTTTTGTGGTTGCTTCTCGACCTCTGTTAGCTCTCTATTTGGACAATATGAATTAGCCTTTGCAAAAGCAGTTTCATTTTCAAGCAATTCCTGACTAACGCCATGTTTAGCCATTGTATCTCTGAGTCTGATAAGTTTCTTGAACTTTTCTTCTTCATACAACTTATTACGTAATTCATTAACAGCTGGAAGGTTTTTAGTGTATCTAGCAGTAACATCAGCAACACCAAACTGGCTTACAGCAATAATCCATACAATCTTTCTACTCCATTGTTCGTAAATGTACTCAGATTCGATAATTCCTTCAACAGGGTCAACGTGGACGAATCTAGCGAGGTCGTATGAATATGCTTCAACCCAGAATCTGTCATAGTGCATGTTGCAAACAATTCTTGAAGGGAATCCCATAAAGTTCAAAATTGAAGTAATTAAGACGGAATATTCAAGAGATTGGCCAACCTTTGTCTCGATGAGTGTTGAGACCTTTGTATATCTCGGGAATCTTGTAATGGCGTTGCAATTTCCACATCTATATCTATAAGTAAGAACTGCGCCGTCTTCTCTCTCCTGGGATGATGAAGTACCATCCTTGATCTTCTCAACCTCCTTTTGGCAGCAATGGCAAAGTGGTTTCTGCATATATTGCATAAATTCTGTACGGAACCAGTCAACAATAGCCTGGATGAGTGGAAGACCGGAAAGATCAGCGAACTTATCGGATGGAATGATGTCAATTAAGGCCATAACATCATCTTCATTATAAGCGTTACGAATCATTGTTTGCATTAAATTGATTTTACCATTGAGTGTAATAGCGTTTGTTGGCATCAATATTGAATCAACAGAGAGTGTATTGAAGCATTTCTTTAAAAATTCATTGATTTTTTGTTGTTCTGCCTTTGTTGCAATAACGACTGGTGGATAAGTGCCATTAATCTTAAGATATGTGATTGGTACGTCTTTGAATTCTTTGGCGACGTGATTTAAAAATACATAATTTTCTTTTGGCTCAGTTAATCCAAGTGGTCCTTTGATAGCTTCAAAGGCCTGTGAAAGAGTCTTAACTGATGAAGGATCAAGTCTAACTGTCTTCCTATAAGCAGAAAATTCGATGAACATATTCTGTCACTTTTTCCTGAAATATGACATTCGACCTTTTATCCATCAAAATTGTTTCTAAGCGGAAAATAGGACTACTCTGGATATTTTGAAATAATGCCATAGAAAATTTTGCAATATAAGAGGAAAATTTATGAGAACTTCGAACACAAAAAAACTTTTAGAAAAATTCAATAGTTTACAACTCAAAATTTTGCTCATACTTATATGAGCAAAAATGTACAATATTAATTTTTAAAATAAAATTACCTTCAAAGTTGTCATATTTTCATCATTTTGGATTTCATTTGTTCATGAGTGATGATTCAAAGCAAAATCATGTATCCTTATTGAACAGAATTCCAGAGATAGCAATGAATTCTCCAATTATTGGCTATGATCTGGCTGATAAAGTGAATGAATTACCATTCTTGCAAGAATATCCTGAAACACGCGATAATTGTTTTTGCGGAGAACCTATTACAAATCATAGTTATAATACTTGTACAATTTGCGGCTGCAGAGTTCATCATGATTGTTATCCAAGCCTCGATAAACAAACGAATCCATTAATATGCATACAATGCCAACAAAAAGCATGCAATCAAATTTTAGGAAGTACTATTGATCAGATTAGAAATATAGAAGAAAATTTAACAAAAATTACCGAAATTCTTGATCAATACAAAACTCCTGCGAATTCTCGAGCTGCTGGAGATATATTTGGAAATATTAAAAATGGAGCAGAGCCTTCTCAGTTAGAAATTAGCTTATCTAAAACATTAGAAGAATGTTCAAGTCATTGGAAAGATATTATCAAATGCGTTGAAAACATTCAAGATGTTACTAGTCGAGATTTATTCGATGACGAAAAATTATAATTAATAATTTTGATATTATGTTTTGTAAACTATTGTATGTTAGAACAGACATTCTCTTTGCTGAATTATTCCTGTTATTTCTAATTGAATAATATATTGTATGAAATTATATATTATTGTAAAGAGATGACGACTATAGATCCGTATTTTTCCCAAGTGAGCGGGGTATCTCCAATCCCAGCCCTATCGTCCTCCCAGTGTCAGTTTTCAATATAAAATCCAAATTTTTTTTGAAAATAAAAATTTCGAGAAATTTTTCTGATTTTTTTCTTTGATTTCAATAATTCAAAATAAATTTGGGAGTAAAAAGACACTATTTAATGAAATTCATATGAGTGAATGTGGATAAATACTCTCAAAACATACAATTTATCTATTTTTTCTTTATATTATCAACTAATTAGTGATAATTTTTTTTGAATCAGATTTTTTTTCATTAAAAACATAATATATACACAACAATGATGCACACATACGTATCTACACATCAAAATATAAAGCTTGTTTTGGTCTGGGCATCCCAACCCAAAATTCTTAAAAAATTGAATAAAATTGAATACTTGGGGCTGGGATACCCATCCCAAAACCGAATTGAATTTTTTGAATTAAAGAATATATTTATGTATTTATAATATACATGTGATGTCTATAAAAAATACTAAATTCTAAAAAAAATTCAATTTATTCAAAACGTATACTAAGTGATCACTTCATTAGTAGGATCAGCAATCCTACTAAATGGTGAGAACGCCACTAACTAAAAAAGGAGTCCTTGGAGCTCTTGATCTCTTGTCAGTAGAGTTCATAATGAGGCATGGCATCTACTGATTAGAGATCAGAGCAATCCTACCTTACCTTCAGGAGCTACAAAGCTCCTAATCGTTACGAGAGGGAGTCTTGGAGCTCCTGAAGCTCATCAGCAGAGGCTATTTACCATTTGGGCCTCTTCTGATGAAAGATGCGAAACACGTCTACGAACCAGGAGCTTCAAAGCTTCTAATCCTTACTAAAGGGAGCTTTGGAGCTCCTGAGTCTCCATCAACAGAGTCCCAGATGGTAAATGTCCTTTGCTGATGAAAGATGCGAAACACATCTACGAACCAGGAGCTCCAAAGCTCCTAATCCTTACGAAAGGGAGCTTTGGAGCTCCTGAAACTCCTTTTACTATAAAATATGACAGTTTTCTTCTGAGGTTCTCATCAAATCTAAGACTTCAGAAGAAAGCTGTCCTATCAATGTATACTTACACTCTCATGGACTACAAGTGTACAATTTTAAGGCAGAGATTATCCGGGCCTCTCATCAAATGAGGGACCTCGGATAATCTCTACCTTAAGTAGTCAAATAACTTTTCTCACTATTTAGGAACAAAAGAACAAGAGTTGGAGTACTTTAAGGCAAGATTCTTCCGAAATCTCTCATCGAATGAGAGACTTCGGAAGGACCTTGCCAAATCCTTGAACGCCAATATCCTTGGAACTGAGCTAGAACCAGGGAGAAGTAGCATACTATAGAGCACGATGGTAATCTCGGAAATACTTATATCGCCCCAAGCACAATATTTAAGAAGTCTAACTCATATATACAAGAAGTCAGGCTGAATAGATATTGTGCATATGGTTTGCAGAACTCTCATGATATTTAAAATTCATGTTATCCCAAAAAAGGTGACACTTTGGGTGTATCGTCCATCCCAGGGATGCAAAAATCACATCACCTTGGATCTATAATGACGACCATTAAGCATAAAATATAAAAGAATTCTTATAATATTCTGCTTTTAGCTTTTTCTTTTATCCAAAAAAAAATACTGAAAATCCAAAATGATACAAATAATATAATTTTTTAAAGTTATTTTTCCGATTTTGAATATTTTTTGGAAAGTTCGAAGAATGAATAGGCAGTACATATTAAAGCTTTGGAGGCAGTGATCATGTTTTCTTCAATAATTTTATAAAATATGATTTAATTAAATATTATTTCGATATTTACCGATCAAAACCTTATTCCCTTTTGCGATTACTAAATGATTCATACTAAAACTTGTACCACAACTTAAGATATCTAGAGATCTGAGACCAATAAAAGCGATTTTTCAAAATTTGAAAACAGAGATGGAGTAATAAAGGCTTTTAAATCAATGTACTTTAAACATAGCAGGTTAGAAAGGCATTTTTAAACATAATAAAGTCTCATTGTCAAACTTTTATGGTCATCAGAGCAATAATCAATAATCACTTTTTGATAGAAACCCAGAACTATTGAATTAAATTTTACTTGTATTTCCAATCTAAAATTCATTGTTATTGCTATTTTTTTGATGTCATTTGAATTTTAAACTGCGGCCAAGTTTTGATATTATATTTTATCATGGATTATTTCATATTATTAAATGCGTTTTTCAAAACGATACAGCTTTTTGAGAATTTCCCATTCCAATTCAATTTTGTTGATCATTTCAAATAAATTATGTCAATATCAATATAGATTAGATTTTTCTATCAAATATATTTGAGCTGGGAACAGGACAAATTTGCCACGCGGCACTTTTTTTTAAAAAAATTAATGGAGCGGAGCGATACTCTGCTGCAGGAGCCCCAAGGCTCCCAATCATTACGAAAGGGAGCCTCAGGGCTCCTGAGAATCCATCAGCAGAGGCCTTTTCATTTGGCCTCTGCTGATCAAAGATTCGGCGAAGCCATTCTTCGTCTCAGGAGCCCCAAGGCTCCCAATCATTACGAAAGGGAGCCTCAGGGCTCCTGAGAATCCATCAGCAGAGGCCTTTTCATTTGGCCTCTGCTGATCAAAGATTCGGCGAAGCCATTCTTCGTCTCAGGAGCCCCAAGGCTCCCAATCATTACGAAAGGGAGCCTCAGGGCTCCTGAGAAACCTCTTTGAGAAGGTTTTCTTAAAGAAAACTTTCTCAAAGATGATTGTCAGCATTCACTCAAAATCTACCAAGAGTTTCAAAGTTTCAAATCTATCTGAAATGAAGCTTTGAATCTCTTGTATATCTAATTGTAGAGGTACCTTTTCAAAATGTCTTCTATTGATTAAATTTAATCAGTAAAAGTCATTTTGAAAAGGTACATCTCTATAATTGCTATTGAGCATTCACTCTTGGAACCTTGGAGCTCTTGTGTAGTGCATGAAAACTCCAAGATTCTAGCATAAAACATATATCATAGACATAATTTCTTCAAATATAATTTAAGGTTATTTTTTAAAATTAGAAAAGCGTAATTTAAGGTTATTGAAAAGTGACACTTGGCAAATTTGTCCCGCACTCATTTGAGCTCACAAAAAATTCTATTGAAATGTAAAAATTTTTAGTAGAAATTTTTAATGAACAATCCAAAGGTCATCCTCTGCGGTAATTCTGGAGTTGGTAAAACAACTTTAATGCACGCAATATCATCCCAAAAAATATCCCGTACTGAAGGCCCAACAATGGGATCTGGTTTCACAAACTGCAATTTACAATATGGAACTGAAATGCTGAGTGTAAACTTTTGGGATACTGCAGGGCAAGAAACATACAGATCTATGATTCGAATTTATTTCCATAACAGTCATTTAGCATTGCTCGTTTTTGATTTGCAGTCAAAGGAAACATTTGATGAGTTGGATAGTTGGATTAAACTTCCTTTGAAGTAAATTTACCAAAGCATTTACTTCCATCTCATTGATAAGAGGCTAATGTTTTTCTCATTAATAAGGCGCTGTTGGCCTCTATCCATAGCCGAAGTGATATTAACGTATGTTAACGTACAAAGTAAAAACATGTTTTTTCTTTTTAAAATCATTTAGTAATTAATATTATTTAGCACTCATAGTAAAAACATTAAAATTTATAAGAATCGTTATGAAGAAAAATTGAGAACTTATGATTTTTATTTAAGAAAATGATTAAATAATATATAAATAACCATATAAACAACATTTTAGATTCCTCTGAAAAGGGTATCTCAAATTGGTCTATGACCAATTGAATGGTTCGCCGGTTATTCAAGGTACGGTATTTCCAATGTTGAAACTTCGTACTCTTCAAAACCAAAAGGATACAATCGTTCTTTCAGCCGAGGAAGTCGAAAGGATTCGTCGACTTGCTGCCGTCAGAAAACCAGATGATTCGGCAGAAATTGAAAAAACAAGACAATTACAAGCTCATGAAAAAACATTAGCAGTTACTAAAGGCTGGGCAAACTCTATTGCAAACGAGCGCCAAGCCCGAATTACATTCAAACAGAGGGAAAAAGAGAAAAGAGAACAGGAATTACAAGAATTAGATCGTCAAGAAGCACAAATTCAAAAGGAGAAAAAGAAGAAAGTACTTGACGAAGCTGAACAAAAAGCATTCTTAGAAAAACCAGAAATCCGTGCAGTTCACGCACAAATTTTATTACATGAAGTCGTTAAAGAGCGTCAACGCCAAATTCGCGCTAAAGAACGTCGTAAAGAGGCTGAGCAACTCCGTGAAGATATGGAAATTGAAGAAGAACGTAAGATGCTCAAAGAAGCTGAAGAAAAAGAAACAATGGCATACTTAGAACGTCGTAGGAAGAACGCTCAAGCAGCCAAGGAGTTCCAACGCCAAGCTGCAGAAGCATCTCGTCGTAAAGCCGAAGATAAAGCTCGTGAAGCAGAAGATGAAGCATTACTCGCTCAAGAAGCTAAGCGCCTTCTCGAAGAAGAGCAATTACAAATAATCAAGCGTCAGCAGGCCCAGCGCGAAGCTGAAAAAGACAATAAATTACGAAACCTCCAAATCATGGAAATCCGCGCTCGCCAAGCCGAAATCGAGAGAGCTGAATACGAGCGTATCATGAAGCTCGCAGAACAGCAGATGGATGAAGAAGATCGTCGTAATGCGGCCGAAAAGAAGAAACGTCAGGAAAGACAAGCCGCCATTGACGCACTTATCGAGAAAGAAGCCAAGAACTTGGCAGAGATCAAAGCCGCACAGAACAAATTCGAAGAGAAGCAGATTGGCGACGAATTTGAGAAAGATCGCAAGAGAACACTCGAATTACAGGCCAAGCAAGAAAGGCTTGCTGCAGAAAGAAGACAGGATTACTTGGATGCCATCAAGAAAATCGAAAACAACAAGAAGAGGGCACAAGAAAAGAAAGCCGTTTTTCCAATGGACGAAGAAACCGAAAGACAAATTAATGAGGGCTGGGAGTTAGAAGTAAAGAAGATGAATGGTCTCAAGGAGTTGGCGGAGTTCCAGAGAAGACAGGCACAAGAAAAGAAGGAAAGAGAAGCTGCAGAAAGAGAAAGAGAGAAATTAGAGTACATGAAGGCCATCGAAGATGAAGATAATAAGACTGCGGAGGCTCAGGAATATGCTAAGGAAATGCTTACATCTATCAAACAAAGAAGAAGACATTAATTTTATTATATTTAGTTATATTATATTTTTATATGCTTTTTTTATTGTAATAAATTGCAATTTTAATTTCTAAGAGTTGTTCATAATCAAAAATATCATTTTTACAACAAAATTTAGAAAAATTTCTAAATTTCAAACCATTTCATGTTCAAACTAAATCATTATATCCTCATTACTATTTTCTAATTGAAAATAGGTTCCTTTTCATTGAATATTGAGAATGCAAATGACATTTCTTTCTTTTTTTAATTAATACATGGTTTCAGCATATCTATTATGCTTATTTATCTTTCATATTAATATGAAGTAACATTTGTTAGACATTACAATATCTTGTTCAGTATTTATCCATATGGAAAAGTTCAAACATTACTATTAAGATAATTATTATAATACTCAATTTTGTAGGTAAATGGTAATCCATTCTGAGAGAAATCTACATAGAAAAAGATAAAATTATATATTTATTATCAAATTACACTGTAAAATATGTGCATTTGGGGATACATACACATTTCTACGTATGTTATGGCGAATATGTTAAAGATCAACTCATATATGTCATTTATGATAACATTGGATATTATAATCTTAACAAAAAAGTATAAGATAATTGTTTCATGAAAAATCAAATATAATTTCCGACTTGTTGAAATATTTGCACCTTCTGAGTTGTAATTGTTTGGTTTTGTCGGTGATATAAGAATTCCTGATTTTGAAATTAAGTTCAAATGTGGAAATGATTTGATATTCATTTATTTTGGTGGATTTCAAGGAGACGGTTTTGCAATTAAGTCTGGATCTCAAGAACAATCTGCTAAAATAAACGAATTCTTGAAGTTTAGACCAAAATTGAGAGGTGACCTTTTTACTCTTGAGATGGTTTAAAAATATGCTGCTTTAGAATAAAAAAAATTTTAAATACATCTAAACTCGCAAATGACATAAAAAATATCACCATACTGAGAATTTTCATCAAAAACAATTTACAATTATATGTTACTGGATACGACACTTCTGACTAGAAATTGGCATACACAACTGGATATAGAATCTTCTAACAGTATCCATCTGCTTGATGATGTAATCAATATTTTCCTTTTGGAGTTCCCTGTGCTTGTTTAATAGAGACTTTACAATATATTCCTCTTGCCCTCTTTGTATATCTTGCTCTTTTTGAAATTCGTATATTTCAGCAATCATTCCAACTAATTTTGCTCTAGTACTGTCTATTCCTTGACAGAAGCGTTCATAGTTTTCATAATCAGTTCCCTGTTCCATTTTTGTCAACATTACATCATGCATGAAAGCTTCAATTTGGGATAAGCAATCTCTGAAGCAGGAAGCATAGTTGTAAATTTCTTCATCAACATCACCAAGTGTATTAAGGCCCTTTTTCATTCCAGGTTTCTTATAATCTGTTGCGTTTTGAATGCATTTATACATATTTGGTTTTAGTTTAATCAATTCTCCATGCATTTTCTGCATCATCTCTACAGCACTATTTGCATTAAGTGGCAAATCTGCTTTTTGATTGTTTCTCCCTTCATGACTCATCTTGAAAATTTTAATAAAAATTTTAAACGAGCACTTTTCCACTTTTGAATTTAAAAGCCTTCTAATTATCTATAAACTACATAGCTAAAAAGTTAAAATTTCTGTCAAATTCTAGAAATGCATTATTTTGATTTTCCAATTTTAACTTGTGAGCTAGAATATTCTAACAGATAACGCTCAGAGGAAAAATAAGACATGTTTTTAAAATCGATGTTTAAAAAAGAGGCGGATTCTCATGAATTTACCTTATAAAATCATAATAAAACAAATTATGAAATGTTATCTTAAGGTTCAACTGCATCATCATTCTTTTCGGCTGGGAGATCATTTTTATCTTCATCAAAGTCAAGTGATTCCGGCTTTTGTTCTGGGACGATGATCCAGAAGCATAAAATAGCAGCAATGAATGCGAAAACACAACCTGAACCAAGAAGTGGTCCCTTCTTTCCATGTGTTGCAGCACCAATACCAGATCCAATGATCCAGTTAGCTAATTGCTGACCAACGACAACGAAGATGTTAAGGATACCCATCAATGTACCCATTTCTTCGTTCTTGGAGCACATACCAACAATAGCATAAGGAATAGAGTTGAAAACAGAGCAAGCAATACCTAATGGTGTCAAAAGACAAAGGGCAGCCCACTTGTTATGGATAAAGAAGATTGGAATAAGGCATACACCTTCGATGATCTGAGAAAGAGCATATGAAATCTTAAGACCAATACATTTGATTACCATATCCTGGACAAAAGACCAAATCATAACGAGGATTGATGAAACACCAATGATGATTAAGCCAAATCTAACACCTTCATCATAATCCTTTCCTCGGAGTTTGTAAATATCTGTTCCGACATAACTTGAGCATTCATTGTTGAATTCAGTGTAGCCCATCCATGAGAAAAAGTAAACAATAGCAATTCTCCAAAATGGCTTTGGCATTGCCTTGAACTGTCTGAAAATGGCAACAAATGGATTTGGTCTGACAAGTTCATCTGTAAATTGTTCTTCATGAGCTGTAAAAACAGTGATGGTAACACTAACAATGATGAAAACAATACCACAGATGATTACAAGCTGTTGATAGTTGAGTGATGTATGCTTAGCAGCATTGAAACCTCCAATGAAGTTAGAGAAAACTTGAGCTAAACCAAGAAGAACTGCTGCAATTGAGTTACCAAGAACTTGTTGTGATTTTGGAATGAGATCGGCAATAATTGTTCTTGCTGGAGCTTGGAGAAGATTGACAGATATAAAATCGAGAAGTAAAGCGATAATTAGGAAGACAATACTCCCTGGACGAGGGTTTGATTTGCTGATTCCTCTTCCGATTTCTCTGCAGAAATAGAGGAAAAGGAAACCAATGATAGAACCAATAGCGCCAGTGATAATAAATGGACGGCGTCTGCCAATCTTAGCGTGCAAACCATCAGAGTAGAAACCAACAAGTGGTTGGCAGATAAATCCAGCAAGTGGACCAATAAGGTAAATCCAAGATCTGTAAACTTGAGGAATTGCAATTTCTGCGGAATCCATGATTGGAGAAAGAAGACCGAAAACGACTGTAAAGACTGTTTGAAAGCCAAACATTGATGCACATATACCGAAGATTCTCCATATTGAGATTTTATCTCTCTTTGCAAGTGGAACCCATTCAGAATCTTCTGGAGCTTCTTTAACAACTGGAGATGGAACTGCTTGTTCCGCTGTTTCATTGGCAGTATTGTTGGTGTCTGTAACAGGAGCCATATATTTCTAGAGGCTGTTGCTAAAATTGAAATTCCGTTTTGTTCTCAATTTAAAATCATTGAAATTGAATAACTGTCTCAATTTTGAGATTCCTCACAAAAATTCAATGAATTTAACAATACGGGGTTGCCACAATTTTTTTATGATAAATAAGAAATGACTTTTAAAGAGTTTTGAGGCAAACTTCACGTATTCCATTGCAAAGAATAATTTCATTTTTTTTCTATTTATGACGACCGAACAGAACACAATTTGATATGACATTAATATACTATAGATACCAAAAATGATCGAGAAACTCTTATGTTTTATCAACTATCAACACAATTGATGAAAACAATGATTAATTTTTTTTGACACTTTTGCAAAAAGGAGCCGATTGTTACAATTAACGGAATTTGTAATATACTCATTGATATAGTTATTATTTATAATTTTTGAAAAATTTTGAACACCTTTTCAATCAAGATTTATAACATCATTTCGATATATACAATCTACATAACTATTGTAACTCATATTTTAAGTTTTATAACGATCGGGCCAATTTTTAAAAAATCTAAGATTTTTTCATGCATTGAGATCAAATCATATAGCATTTTCTACTATCTAACACAACGTAACAAACATTTATCATGAAGAGACTATTTTTTAATATTTTTTTTTTGAGATTGTCAATCTCAATTTTAAGGGTCCACTGTAAAAATTGAAAGGCGATTTGCAAATAATCGTTATCGTCTTTTTTTGAAAATCCACTTTTCCTAGTGTTCTGATTAATATTTTGTGAATGTAACAATAAAGTATATGTTTTAGTAAGATGATAATACATTCTATCACTTCAAATCACATAAAAATTGCAAAATCAGCGAGTTTTATAAGAACATGATTTTTTCGAATTTTTTCGCTTTTGGATGCGTGTTTTGAAAAATAGATATTTTCGAATTTTGATTTTATCTTAAGTATAAGTTTTATATTAGGAATTTTTTTGACCTATTTCCAATCATTAATTCCGATGTTTTTTTAGGAATTTATTTGAGAAGAAATTAGGAATTTCGCTTTTATGCTATTACAAACTAATATTATGATGCATGTAGTTTATATTCATTGAGGCCAATGCCGGGATATCTTGCATTAAAAAAAAATTCCAAGAATTGACAATTAGATAGCACAAATTTAATTCTCTAGACAAAGTATTATTGCTTATATATTCAAAACATTATCCTTAGTTTTGATATGTTGGCCAAAAATTTTCGTGTTATTTTTTGTGTTTAAGCATAAATTATGTATTTACTTATGAAGGATAAGCATTTTATTCATTGTCATAAATATGCACCATAACAAATTGATAAAATTTTAAAAAATTGTGTATTTTAGCGGGTATTATTTTGGCCAATGCCCGTTGTTACAAGATTTAATATTAACCATATCAATAGCAGACTCAATGTAAAAATTTAGATATATTTTTTTTTTCATTATTCAAACTTTGATAAAGTTTAGTATAATGAATGATTTTGTTTCGTGTATGATACAGAAATGAAAAGCTTAATTAATATTATTTTGCATTTTTTCAAGAATGTTAGAGTATATCTACATTAAAAAATCAAATTCGAACTGCGATACTGCATCAAATTGATGCATATCTGATAAGGATCTCAAAAGAGTAAAGTTAATTTTTTTGAGTTTTTTTAAGTTTTGGGCCTTAGTAAAACACCATCTCGAGCAATATTTTTGGGACGACGATAGGCCTTATTTGGCCTTACAGTGGACCCTTAATTTATAACTTGACATCGAAAGAACTGATATAATAAGGCTGAAAACACATCAAATTATATGTTAATGGTTAGCAAAAATACTTTCTTAACATCTTATCATTGCACAAGTATTTTGCAATTATCGATTTGAACTAGGTTCAAAGACGGGAAATATCATTCAAATTTTATAAAAATACTTGATGAAGATAATTTAGATATTTTCTGGTTTTTATAGCATTTTCAATTTATTATTATTTTTTTTTCATTTACACATTCATATACAATAAATCAAGCAAAATTAGCTTTTATAGGCCTCAGATAATTATACATGCAATTTTTTTTGATCAATAAACTAGGTCTACAAATCGATGTTTTAGCCAAGATCTATTAATTTTCTTAGGAGTGTAAGCTATGCAAACTTTAACTATATAAGTCATCTTATAAGACGGGGATTTAGTGCAGTCAAGAAAAATCGATAAGTCGTGAAAAATTTTTTTTATTTACCTTTCTTCCTAAATGACAGCAGCTCAAATAACTAGATGTGAAATACCACCTTCAATAATAGATTTTTATAAAATATGCGAAGACATCTGGGCTCAGATATTTAAAGGTAAATTTAAAGATATTAATCCTAGCAATTTGGCAAATCCTAAACTAAAATATCTAGTGCAAAGATTTATTCGCGATTTTCAAAGTAACTCAAAGTATTTCGAGCCTACAATTGACAAATTTAGAGATGAATACAATTGTATTTGAGATCAAAAGATTTAGATAACGAGTCTAAAATGGTATCATTAATAGCAAACAATCAATTTGATGAGTTCAAAGATTTCTTCCTTGATCACACAGACATTTATAGTGATCGCAGTAAATTTTATTCTCCTATTGATTGCGCAGCAATTTCAGGAAACGAAGAAATTTTCAGATTTTTGAAGATAAATGGTGTTCAAGAAACAAAAAACACGTGCAGACTTGCTGTCATCTCAGGTAATTTCGATATCATTAACATTTTAAATGAATCTGGACTTGATTTTAGCCAATATTTGCTGACAGCTATCGAATTTCATCACAACGAAATTGCAGATTGGATTTTAACAAATTTTGAAGGTAAAGACTTAAATCCAAGCTTTTGTTTGCTAAATTTGAACCTCAATGCATATTGTTATTGTGCGTACAACAAACTTAGAGATGTGTTCACTCAGTTACTTCAATTGGAATTTTTTGATTTGGCAAAAATTTCTTTTGAAGCAAGAACTTTAATCGATAATGAGAATTTTCAATCTTTCTTAAATCCACTGAATGAAAAGGTTTTCGAATTTTTATGTGACAATAGATACAAAATGAATCTCACACAACTCAATCTCGTCATCGAAACTGGAAACTTTCATATTTTTAAAATTTTTTATAAGAAAAAACTTCTCAAGCATATCAAGCAACAAGAAATTCTATCTTCAGCAATACGCAGAAACAATTATAAAGTTATTGAATTTATGCTATCCAAAGGAATAAAGATTGATTACAAAAATTGTCATCCAGGAATTAGTAGAGCAAACTATGACGTATTTTCCATTTGTTGCTCAAACCTTTGTAAATCAGATCTTGATCATTTTTTACTTCAATATGTCCATCATATTGACGTATGCAAATTAGAATTACTATAGTTTGCAAAGCAGTCAAATCAAATAAGTCTTACGAAGAATCAGCATTAATCAAAGCAATTAAAGGAAGAAATTCTGATGCTGTCAAATGTTTGATTGATCATGGCGCATAAATAAAACTCAAGATTAACAACAAAAAATCATTAATAATATATGGCATTGAATCATTTAGCAATGAAATTGTCAAATATTTGCTAGAACAAGGAGTTAGTGTTAATGGCAGAGATCAATTCGGAAAAAGATCTCATGTTTATATTCTTGAAAGACATCAAGAGAAAATAATGCAATTATTGATTAATCATGGATTAGAAGTAAACAAAATCAAAAAGAAAGGATTCTTCAAAAAACAATTGATTGAACATTACTCAGTAGAAACATTAAATACATTGCTAAACAAATATCCAAACTTCTTCAATGAGGTTAACGATAATCAATTAATGCTATTTTTTGCTATTCAAGGGGATTCTATTGAAAAGGTGCAGTTTTTGATTGAACACAATGATCATTCATCTATTGATTCATCATTATTAACAGAAGCATATAAATCAAGATGCTATTCTAGTGGCGCTACATTATTCAAATTAATTCTCAAACTGTTAAAACCAGATCAATTAAATGATGAAATCATTGAAATGGCTGTTGAAAAGATGATTGAAAAGAATTCCATTGAAATTTTAGATATTTTAGAAGAAATTGGATGCTTTGTTCAATTATAGCTAAAGAAAATATGTGAAGAACTCATGAAACAAACTCAAAAACGTTTATCACTTTATGAAAGACATGAACTTATTCGATCAATAGACACATATGATTCTAGGGAAATAAATAATGAACTTAAGAGGTCAAAATTATACATCATTCACATCATTAAAATTATTCAAAACAAAAAACCTGATATAAAGCCTGAATCTTTTTCTCCAATGATCATTGCATCAAAGTATAAGAGATACGATGTTATGGAATATTTACTTGATGGAAATTTTTACAAAGAAAATGAGTTAATTGATGCACTTCCACATTTAATGATACGGGGGATACAAAATTCTTCACTCATTATCGAAAAAATGATTGAAAAAATCCAAAGAAATGATTATTATATGAAATACCCGCCATTGTTTTCGCTCTTAAAGAAAACTACATCAAAGCAGCTGAATTAATGCTCAAAACGGGATACACTATCAACCAAGAAAATTTGGATTCAAAGTTGCTTGATTTGATTTTCATGAATTCAGTTAAAGCCAAATCACTTCAGTTGACACAATATATTCTAAATTTCATTGAGCGTATTCCAAAATGTTGTTTAGTTGAATCAATAAATCGAGAATCATTCGAAATTGCTGAGGAATTGATTAAATCGAACAAATCACACTACCTAAACAATGATTCCCAGATAATATCCGAAATAATTCATAACTTATGGTCATACAATAATAATAAAAATCTCTTGGAAAAGTTACTTCTAATCGCACTCGAAAATGGTTTCTTCTGCAATTATAAAGATATTTTAAGAAATTATTATATTACACTCACAGAAAGAATGGTAGAAATATTTATTACAAATAAGGAATTTTACCATATTGATTTAAGAAAATTTTATAAAGATTTAATAGAGAGCAACAAGGGTTATGATTTTATCATTAAATTTCATGGTGTGTTATTTACTCATGGAATAGATTTAAATAACATTTCTGCCTTGGAGTCTGCTTTAAAAAGACCAGAAATAGTTACTTATTGCTTATCTGAAGGGAGATATAATCAAGAATCAATTCAAAATGCCATTATTTTGTTAACAAATGAATACTGCAGAAATTACCCCTTAATTATTTCTCTTATCAATTCTTTGGATGACTGTAATGCTTTATGTAAGGATGGAATCCCAATCTGGATTAAAGTTATTAAAAACTATCCTTATTCTGTGTTTCAAAAATTAAAAAGCTTAAAAGATTATCAAGGAGTTCCTTACATGATATATGTTGTATTGCAATACGATGTTAGAAATTATGAATATATAATTCGTGGTAATGGTTTTTTAGGTAATAGAAACTACGGTTTTACTCCTCCAATAATTGAATCAAGAATTAATTTAAAAAAAGCAATTCGCTTTGGACTTGAAAATAATTATAACAATTTCCTTGATTTTCTCGATCACTATCTCAATATCAAGGATATGATTGCAGAAATTCAACAAGAGATGAACTCTGAAGATAGAATAATAATTTTTGAATAAGGTTTGTCATATTTGGGGGTGACCTTATGCCCCTATGACATGGCCTTCAATTAAGATGTTTAAGGTTAATTTTCAATGACGCTTCATACCAGTTGTCAAAAATTTGAATTAATTAATTAAGAGCTCTCTTAAATGATTTTATTTCATATTACATTATATTTTTATTGATTGCAACTTTTTAATTTAGACATAATTTCAGTTTTTGAAGCGGCTTGTTAACAAAATCAGTGCTGTTGGCCAAAGTTTTCAATTCTATCTCCGTGTTATACAAAATTTCAAGCACTTATTCATGATTTCTGGATTGATACACAAGATTGAGAAACCCTCAACATGAGAATCAATAATCTCTTCTTGAGCTTGATATTATGTAATATCGTTAATAACAATTTATATGTGTCATTTTTACGTAAGTTCAATAGTTTTCAGTTTATATCAAATTTAATTTCTCAGACATTTTTCAAGCAAAATATGCAAAACGATAAGGAATATCATAAAAATCGGGATCTTAAACTTGAAATCATATTCTTCGCATTTAAACATTTCAAAAATACTTTTTTTATTTTTTGAAATTTTGAAATACGTTGGATGAAGTTTCTGCAAATTTAGATAAATAAGGTAATATAAAAGTGATTTGATTTTGTTCTATGAAACAATTTTCTGTATAAAAATGTGAAAGTTCATTTAGATCAGAATTACTTTTTTCATTTTTAAATGTAACAGTTCCTAATCCTGATTTTGAATTGGATTTAACATATGAATCTGTAATAGTCAATGTGTAACCTTTACTAATATAAAACATATATGCTGCAGTGTTATTTAAAAATACGCAGTGATCAACAGTAGTATTCAAATTACACCAAAATAGAACTTGGGAATTGTCTGTTCCGCATTTATTTCCAATAACATTGCAATAAGAAACTGCTTGTATCAATGAAGGAGAATTACTGTCAAATTCAAGAGATGGACTTCCAGTTTGGTTGTTTTCTCTGAATGTTGAGAAATTACATGTACTTGATTTTCCATCAAGGGCACTATCTATTGATGAACATCGACTGCATTTGTTGTAAGTGATGTTGTTATTCTCAAAACGTAGATCACCCCATGCAATATCAAATGCATACCATCCTTTTGATTCACTTTCTCCGCATTTTGAAACTGAAATTTGAAAAGCGTAGTTTTTATAATCAGGAGAAGATTTAACCCATTGACGAAATGACATGTAACCGTATTTTGCTATTGATTCAGAATAAGAATTTCGTTGTTGAACAAACTGTCCTTGATAGCAGTAATAGTAAACAGATCCACCTTCTGAAGTGGATTGGCATTTAGTAAATATGTTATCTTCAAGTAATGTGCAGATTTCGTTAGTTCTTTTGATATAAATTGCGCCTTTTTCTTTGCATTCGTTAAAAATGCAAACAAAAACGTAATAATTGTTAGAGCCTGTAGTATCAGAGAGTTTTGTTCCATCTTTAGTTTGGCTGAATTTATCTTTATTGCCAAAATAATCAGGCCAGCAGTATTTTCTTGCATTTCTCAAACTTGAATAGAGTTTGTACGCATTTTAATGGTTTGAAATGTTTACTTAGCTGGCAACAAAGAATTTCTGCTTTGTTATGCAACTGATACTTCGATCACACAGGAGAAACCTAGAAAAATCTCAATATTTGATAAAGTGGCAAAATTTTGGTAAATTACATTCAAATACTTTTACATTCAAAATTGATAATTCCTTTTTAGATCCGAAAATCTGACAAAATTTTAAAAATCCATTTTGATGGAGTTGCAAAGTCTTGACAGATCTAATAATATAATGACAATGCTCAATAAATACCCAGACCACATTCCTGTCATCGTCGAACGCGATCCACACTGCACAACTTTACCAGATATCAAAAATAAAAAATTTTTTGTCACAAAAACTCTTTCAGTAGGAAATTTTGTTTATTGCGTACGAAACAGACTTGATATCAACGAAAAGGATGCAATTTTCTTGTTTGTTGATAATACGTTACCAAATCCAAGCGATAACCTTGGAGCAATATACGAAAAGCATAAATCAGAAGATCAAATGCTTCATTGTACTTATAGTTCTGACTCTGCTTACGGATTTTTGTGAAAATTTTCATTTGAATAACTTTAATCGTTGTTAAATCGTACCATTTTTAAAATTGTTAAATCTACATAGTGTTAATTCTTACTTTTATTTTTCTAAATATTTTAATTTTGTTTTGAATTTTTCTAATTATAAAGGATTTTTTCAATATAAATCGGAGTTAATGATGAATCATGCACCAAACACCGAAGCATAATTAATATTCAAATCTAATTTACCAAATCGATAAAAAAATCGATAAGCAATTAATAAATACAATGAAGAAATTATTCTTTATTTACGTATTAACAAACATTATTCAACACGATAATAAACAAATTATGTAAATTATTGATTTTTTTTTGCAATTTTGGGGAAATAAGCAACAGCGCATAGAACTGATTAGATCTTGAAGATTAGATAACAGGTATCAGCTTCAAGCTAAATTATTGATTACTTTTTCTTTCAGTTTTGAAAATATTAAACTTTTTTTTGCGGAAAAACATATGAACTTAAAGCTTGAATAATTCATCTGACAATTTTCTTTCCATTGATGTATTAGAATCTGAATCGATGAATAATGGCTTTGGCATTGTAGTAATCGAAGTTTCTTTTGGCTGAAGATCGAAAGACACATAAGGCTCTACAAGATATGCATAAAGTTTGTCGCATTCTTGAATATATTCATCTGCCTTCTGATGAAAGAAATCACAAAGTTCTTGCATTTTTAAACGTCTACTTAATAGGGGACTTTATGTGTAGACCCCATTAAAACTTGTTCCCTTGGAACCGCACCAATAAACCATATCGAGCATACAGAAACATAATAAAAAGCTTATGTACACTTTGAAGAACTTAATGTAATACTTTATTCTTTATTATGGCCAAAATTTTAATCACAAATTTAAATTCAGCCATAAAAATTAATGAACTCATAATTAATCAACATGCAAAACATTTTTGCAATCAAAAACAGGTGTCATTGTGGTTATATATCGGACTGCGATAATTGTAAAGTCGCATTATTTATTTTTTTATATTTCACATGGAATTAGAGTATGAAAGAATGAAAGAATTTGTTCCATCCAACACTAAATCCATGAACTCAGCATGCAATAGCGAAATTAAGGAGTGTAAGCATGAAATTTTGAGAAAACAACGTCATTTGATTTTATTACACCTCTATAATAATGATTATTATCCACACTTCTTCCCATCCAACAAAGAAGAGTTCTATGACTATATCAATCAAGATGCAGACAATAATCCTGATGAAATCACTCCAGAAACTAAATCTTACTTATCACAAATATATGATCACTTATTGAATAACCCAGCTGATTTAGTAACCCTAACAAACTCTGCATCGCATGTTTTTGATTCTTCAAATTTAGCCGCATTTTATTACTCAACAATCCCTTCAATTTACGGCTACTTCTCATCATACGAACACATAGCATTCGGATATCGCTTTTATTGCCAGTTACTTCAAAAAGTTCAACACAGAATATTTTTAGAGGCCGTTGTTCCGTTTTTCCGCAACGCAACGACTTACCGTTACATAGAATCAGTTTCTGAGTCTATTATCGACTTATTCTGCCGAGATGTACAACTTTTGAAGACAGAAACAAATAATCGATTTTTCGAAGGCATTGCAGACAATTTACATGACATAATTGTTAAATATTTACAATTACTTCCCAAGACACACCTCAATCTCCTCATTTTGATGTTCAACAACAAATATTCTCGTCATGACATTTATGAGTTCTTTGTTTCACAATTCCTTCAACCAGAAGTCACAGATTACCTCAAATCATCTGCTTTCTCTACTCATAACAAGCTTTTCAACTCAATTTGCGAGTATTTACTTACAACTGCAGATAAAAACGACTTTGAAGAGCTTTTGATGTCAAATTCACTCATAGATATACCATCAATGTTCGGAGATTTCGGACAAAAGCACATTGACCTCATTGTTACTCCTTTAGACGGATCATTACTTTCTACTTTAATTAGATCAACAGGAGCTTGCTCAAAGACACTCGAAGCCATAGGAAATAATGGTCCAATGGTCATGCAAGGCTACCAAACCCTTTTTGTTAGAGTTATTCCGACAATTCCGATTCATCCAGTTTCAAGTATCGGCGGAAAGATCTTTTTCGATCAGGAAAGGATGGAAACATGCCATGCAAGCATAAACAGATTTGATTATCTCATTAAATTCCTTTCTCCCAAATATGACGAAAATTATCCGGAATCTTTCCTCGAAGACAAGGAATTGGACACATCCTCGCTTTGCCTTGACTGCAGACATAAGCTTGGCCAGGGAGAAAAGCCAGAACATTGCGATACATGCGGTGGTCTCCAAAAACATACGCTAACGTTCAAGGAATACACAATAGAAAAGCGCTATGATGATATGTATGAACTTTCAGAGGCATTTGAGAACTTTATTGAAAGAAAATTAAGTTTTGATATCCTGAAAAAGTTCAAAAGCGATGTTGACAGGGCTCATTCTAATTCCCTTGCTTTACATGCTGAGAATTTGATCGATAATTACCTTGCAGATTCAGAACAATCCGAAATTGTCAAATCATCTCATTTATATCTCAAGCAATTCAAGCTTTTAGATAATCAAAAGGATGATATGATATTCTTCGCCGCAAGAGCAGAGTCTTTGATGTCTACAGTGTCGGCAAGCAGAGTTAAAACTGATTTAACAGAATTTGAAGCAAAATTCTCAGAAGTTGTAGCAATGTCATCAATAAAGATGCCAACGCCATTTGTGAAGAATGAGAACCAGTCAAGAAAGCTATTTTTCAACAAAAGATTTGTTGAAATTGCAGGATTACTTAATCTCGTGACAATTCAACCATTTACCAAGAGATTCTTCCATATATCGAAATGTTTAAGATATCTGGATGAGCTAAAACATATTTCTGGAGCAGAAAAATCTTTAATTCCAAATGCACTCAGAATTTGTGTTGATCCTGGCGTAGTTTCAACAATTCTTAAATGCATTGCGATGCTCATGAAGAAAAATAACTTTGTTGCTTTGCTTCCAAAGGAAACTGCAGAACTTTGGTACGAAATGGAGAATGAAATTGTTAATATCGCTTCAACAGATGAAGAGACACTTCTTATGTGGACAAGACTTGTTGATGCATTAGTAAACGCATTTTAATATTATTTATTTTTTTAAATCAACAAATTTTAAAACAATTAGTCCTATTTTTGTTACTATTACAGCAAAATACAAGATATTAATAGTTCAGCTTGAGATTTTTTGAAATAATTTATTGAAATGAATTTTATTGCATGTTTCATTACATAGTAATGCAAGACTGTTACATACTGCAGGAATATATCATTTTAAGAGTCTCCATGACAGTATAAAAACTAAAATCGGATCAATTCGATAAGAAATGTGCTAATATTTCACAAAAGATCAAAAATATTATATAATATATGCATGTGAGGGATACCTTATTTTGTTCTTAAAACATCAGATCGAAATTTCAGAATTTTTTTTTATTTTTATTTTTTTTTTTGATCAATAGGAACAATTGTCTACTTAGACAATATTCCATGTGACTCAGCTTTCAATGATGTTTATGCAGCCTTCTCTTGCTATGGTGATATCGAGAGACTTAAGTTTCTTAAACAATATTTAAATGATTCACCAGAAGGCTATGCAGCAGGCATTGCTCTTATTCAATACAAAGATGCAGACTCAGTTACTAAATGTGTTGGCGATCAAAAGCCAATTATCATTGCTGGCCGAGTAATTCATAAATATAATTCACCAATTCACATCAACCATCGAATTTCAACATCACTATTCATCTTCTTTAAATCAATTGGAGAGAGTGCAAACTCAATCATGCAAACATTTTCATTATATTCCCCAATTAACTGCCAAATTTTGCATCCAGTTACATTCAAGAGATATGGTATGGCTATTATCCAATTCAGTTCGGACAAGGATCGCGAACTTGTATTATCTCGTGAATCTCAAGTGAAAACAGAATCTCAACTGATTATTGGCCGTCCACAGTACGATTTCGAAATCCTTTCATTCGAAGATGAAGAGAAGTTCCCAGAAGTGATCGTTACACCCCCATCTGCTTGCTATTCTGATCAACTTCAGTTCCAATACTTTTATGACTTCGAAATCAAGTACTTAGACCAATCCTTCAAGGTCAATTCATTTTTGGCATCAAGTCTATCCAACAAAATTTCAGCCCAATTACAAAACAACATGAATTCTCTTTCAATTCAATCAAATGTCCACATGAAAGGCCCATTTAACCTCGTATGCCAATCCCTTATGGGCAATGAGATCACAATTACGTCCGAAAACGCCATTTTCTTACTTCTTTGCGCTAAAGATCTCGAAATGAGTCAATTAACCGATGCTTGCATGGAATTCGTTACAGACATGTCAGACTTCGACCTCATGTTCCGATTCGCTTCAGATTTATGCACAAATGGCCTTGATTACTCACATCACGTAGATTACATCACAGAACACTTCAACACTCTCAAGGACGAGACACAATTCAAATCATTACCTCTACAAATGGTTTACGACATTCTTACGAAGCTCCCGGCCGAAACAAAAGATACATCAAATTTCGCGGACTGGCTTCTTTCTTTCCTCGGAGAAAATGCAGAAGCTAGAGCTAGACTCGTAAACTTCTTGCCTTTCACGAAAATTGAGGCAAAAAGTATCCGAAATATCTTATCTCGTATTGGTGTCAATATGAACACTTTAAAGACATCATTGATCAACATTGTCGATCACGGTTTCGAAGGACTTGACGATGGCCCAACAGCCACCATCAAATGTCCGTATTCTCATTCGGATCCAGATTCCGGTATTTTCTCAGCCCTTTCGAAGCGGAATGGTTGCAAAGCCTCCAAAATCATTGAAGTATCCTCTACAAGTGACATTTGGATGGTTATTGACCCAAGTTGGAACAAATCTTGGGTTTCCGCCTCAATTCCTGACATGTGGATCATGTTTGACCTTGATGCCCGCAAGAACCCGAAGCAGCCCTTCCGTCGCCTTCAAGTAAAATCCTATACTTTGAGGACAGCTCTATCTGGTGAAATGGGACACCTCAAATCCTGGGTTTTAGAAGGCGCAAACGATCCAAACGACCAATGGACAGTTCTCCACAACCAGCCGAAGTGTTCCGTACTCCGTGGTCCCGGAAAATCCCATACTTTCGATACTTCCAACTCCAAACCGTTCAGATACATCAGATTACGAATGACAGGAAAGAACTGGGCGGACAGCGAAAGTCTCTGTCTCCAGTGCATCGAGTTCTTCGGTGAAGTTTTCTACGGAGAGGACCAGGAGAAGAAGGAAATCATCAAATACGATCCTGGCAAAGAATGGAACGGTTATTTCGACTGGCTCAAACGGTTTTCAGAGGGAAATCCAATCTTTGCAGGTGAAATTGCTATTGATTGTGCTTCTTCTGCATCGAATATCGTTGATAGCGGATGGAATGGTTACTGGAGATCTCCTGATACTCCTAATTCTTTCGTTATCTTCAAGTTCCCGAATATGAGTGTCTCAATAGACATGTACTTCATGCAGACATACAGCGGATCAGGAAATTGCTATCCACAGACATGGGTAGTTGAAGGATCCAATGATGGTTTGAAATGGGATTTCATCGACCAAAAATCAAAAGTGACAAATTTGAAGGGATCAGGAAAGGGAGGTTTGTTCGCTTGCAAACCGTCTGAGAGGTTTAAGATGATAAGAATTAAACAGAACGGAGAAAACAACGCTGGCCAACACTCTTTCATGCTGTCTCACGTGGAATTCTACGGAAGACTATTCTTATTCCAGTAAATTAAAGATTTTACGTGTTATATTGTTAATTTCAATTCATATTTTTAAAATTGATTTATATATATTTGAGATCAATAAATTTTCTGAAATTTGATTTAATTTGTTACACTTGAATTTATGATGAATTGATTTTTATGAGGGAATAAATTAAAAATATAGCTTTTTAATGAATCAATATTTATAATTGTAATTCAATATCAGTAAATATTTTGAGGAAACCATAATCATTTGGTTTAATAGCTCATATTTTTAAAACATTGGAATTATAACTTCAAATAGCTACTGTTTTCCTTAGATAACAAAGATTTTCATTCAAATTTCTTAATTTGAGTTAATACAGTTGCGCGTCATTTATTAAACAATTTTTGATTCGATCCTTAAATTATTTATCCTAGATTGATCTAAATCACAAATTGATAATGTGATAATCCTGAAAATAGAGAAGTTTATATCCTTAAAAGCGTATCTATTAATAGTAGGATTGCTGTTCATATCATTAAAACAGGGTAAAAATGAAGAAGATTCGATTTTCGTTGAAGAATTTCTTTAATGCTAAAAGTGACAATATTTAAAATGTTGAATTTTACTGTGAGAAAGTTAGCTTTACAGAAGAGTTTGGATATGATGCCATTTTCAAATCTCAGAATGAATAGCTTTACCATGGACAAATCACGTTTTTCTTATTTTGCAAATTCTTTTCAATTTAAATCTTTATCAACAAAAGTTTCGGATACATTATTCTCATATTCTTTACATTCAGCAATCAAAATCGATGGAAATCTATTCAATAATGCAACAAGTTCTAACACACAACAGATATATCAACAATTTACTGCTTTTAACTGCTATTTCCTCCATTGCAAGAACAACATATCTGGAGGAGCCTTCACATCGAACGGTCGTGATGCAATTGTTCACTTTGAAAGGTGTTTCTTTGAAAAATGCGTTTCTGAGAAAGAAGCAGGCGCAATTTACATCAGAGACGGCTCATTACATCTTACAGACAGTACATTTAAGGACTGTTTAGCTTATGCTTCAGCCCAGGCAATTTATGTTTCATCATATCCGAGAAATTCAATCAGATTACAAAGAACATCCATAGACAGATGTCCTGTTATAGCACCCGACCTCCAGGGCTCCGTTGTACACTGTATAAACGGCGAACAAACGATGGTTGAAACAAATGTTACTCATTCGAAGATTGTTAGCGGATCCGGAAGTATTAAGTCCGTAAAACCATACAATTTCGATGGCAGATACTGCTGCATCTCATTTAACCACGGAACTTCAACAATGGCGATTTTCCATAATTCTACGATCGAAGGACCAGTTATTCTCGACTATTACAACATCGTCAACAATACTCTCGAAGGCGACGACTTAATTCAAACAAATTCGATCATTTACTTACGAAATTCTGTAATTGCAGATAACAAAGTTGTTGTTGAAGTTATTTCGTATACACCTGCTCCAACGAAGAAGTTGAGCAAGTTATCAATGGTCAGTTCTAAAAAGAAGAAAGAAGAAAAGACTGCAGCACCAACTCCGACGAAATCAATATTTATTCGACTGGAACATTGCGGTTTGGACACAAACCATGCTGAATTACTCAAAAATACTGATGTTTGCAGCGATTGCAACAAAATTGAAGGAAAATATACTTTGTATCAGATTCCAGCTGCAAAAACACCAGGAATTAGAAAGGCAACAGCACTACCACCTCCAAAGGAGTATTCGTCACAGATATTGGTGCTTTGTCCCTTCATGATGATCCTTATTATCTTAATTGGCTTAGTTATGAGGACAACTAACTGCCAGTCAACTGATGACTACGTCCAAGATGAATTTGTACAATCTAATTGACCATTTGTTATATTGTATTCTTATTTTGTATCTTTTGTTTCGTGAATTTGAAATCATAAAAATAAATTTATTATACTTCAATAATCATAATTGCGTTTTTGGTAATTCTGATATCCTTACAGATTGTCCAAAACAACAAATTTAGAATTGATGGGAGATAGTTGTGAGAATAACCCCAAAAATTGACAATGTCACTTTTTATGAACTTTTAACTTTAGGTTTAAAAAGAGTAAGAATTTCAATGTGCTCTCAAAAATTTTTGAAATGTAAATTTGATTTTTTTTTTGAGGAGAAATTTTACGGTTTCAAAATTTCTAATACTTTGGTAATGAAAAGACAGCGATACGCTTTATTCAAATGATATCTTTCGGCGTGCATGAATTCCTGGAGACTCAAAGATACAAGTAAAGGCCAAGAAAGCCTCAGTTCAGATGATAACTTCCAGAATTCAATTATTTTACGTTACCCTTGTCCTTCAAATAATGACTGCACATACTATCAATCAATTTTATCACCAGGCATATACAAATTTGAAGTTTGGGGTGCCGATGGCGGTGCTGGAACAGCAGATGGATATTATACTCAGCACACAGGAAAGGGTGGCTACTCGATTGGTGCTTACATAGTTAATCAGACAGTAAATGCGTACGTTTTCGTTGGTGGAAAAGGTGAAAATGCAACTAATCCATCAACTCGACCTGCAAAAGGCGGGTATAACGGTGGTGGAGATTCACCACAGGATCAAAACTTCAATGATGATGCAGGCGGCGGCGGTGGTGGTGCCACTGATATCAGAATTGGAAATATTGACTTAGACAGCAGAGTTATCGTTGCTGGCGGTGCTGGCGGCACAGGATTTGATACAAAATATTATAATATACAAGAAACTCCTTTTGGTGGAGGTTTGACTTCATCATTACCAAGAGGCTACGGAAAAACCGGAACTGCTTCCTCCCAAACATCAGGATATCAAAAGGGAGTTGGACAACCAGGTATAAATGATGGTACTACTACTTCTGGAGGCGGTGGTGGGGGTTATTTCGGCGGATTTACGATTGTAGGCTCATCTGCTGGCCAAGCTGGCGGTGGATCGAGTTATATTGATGGTGTTGTTTCATATGGAAGCGTTGAAAAGAACACAATCAACGGAGAAACTGCAATGCCAGTTCTAAACGGTTTCAGTGTCGGAAACAACGGCCATGGATTTGCCAGAATCACTCTACTATCTAGCCTTGTCATTAAAGAGAAGCCAATTTCATGTATTCAAAATTCATATTTCTCAAGCGACAAAAACATTTTATTTTATGTTCTTTTGATTTCTTTTTCATAAACAATGCAATTTCTATACTTATTTTTTCAAATAAGATCGCATTTATATGTTGACAAATTGAAGAAATAAATTTTCAGATCCGTTAATTGAATAAATTGAATTTATTGAGAAGGAAATAAAAATTTATCTGAAAATTGTAATGAACTATTGGAATTAGTCAGATTCAATATTATTTCCCTGAAGCATCAGAACAAGCGACAACAAATGTTTTATACAGATTTGGGGATCATCTGGCGGACTTGCTAGAGATGCAAATACGCCAAGAATCAGATCCGATTCTGGTGGTCACGGCTCTTATGTCTCTGGCATCATACGGCTGAAACAGCCTCAGACCATGTTCCTATACCTTGGTGGCCATGGAGAAGATCAAACCGACTTAACACATTCCTATATTCCCGCAAATGGCGGCTGGAATTTTGGTGGCAAAGGGGGATTGATTTCAATAATGATACGGGTTCTGAGTATTCATTAGAGAATGGGGCCGGAGGCGGAGGTGCTGTTGATCTTCGCCTTGTATATTATGATATCAATCAAGAAGTATTTGACGAAAATCTTTTTAATAAGTCGCTTGATAGTCGAATAATCGTCGCAGGATCTGGCGGTGGAGGTGCTTCTGGAGAAGATTATAGCTGGGGTTTGTCTATTGGATTTCCTGGTGGAAACACATCTGCAATATCTAATGGTCCGGATACACATGGTTGAACCCAAACTCAAGGTTTACTCGGCATCGGAATTGATGGAATATCATCTTCTGCAAATCAAGGAGGATCTGGCGGTTGTGGGAGTGGATATCGTGGTGGTTTCACAAATTTCCCCAACTCAGATCAAGTGACGAGATATATTGTTGGTGGCTCTAGGGGAAGTTCGTATATAAGCGGTCATTTTGGATGCATCAGTCCATACTTTAAAAATGATGTTGAAGCCACTCATCTTAATTCTTTTCATGAAAGTGGTTTATATTTTACTGACACCATTATGAAGAGCGGAGACGAATTTATGCCTAGTCCATACGATGATGGAATGATCACTGGTCATGTTGGTCATGGCGTTTGTCGCATCACAATTCTTCATCCTGGATTTTGTCCATCATGTAATTTATATTTTTCAATTCGTCTTTTCCTTTCGCTTACTCCACTTTGTTTTGAAATTAAAACTTAACAATAATTTATTTATTTGAGTGATCATAAAATAGGTTCATATTATGGGATTGCTAATTTCGCATTTATTAATAGTCCCTTCAAGTATAAGTGTTCTACTCGACAAATTAGAACAGCATGAACATACATGATCTCCATGAGCTTCAAACTTTTAAGAAAAATTTTCGCAAGATTTGAGCAATCATTAAAAGAATAACTCTCTATATCTTCGATCGTATCTAATGAGTTTATTTTCCTGGTTCTAGGAATGTCATAGAATGCGCTATCTTCAATAAATTGCATACAACATGGAAAGAAGTCAAAATAAATATTTGGGCATCCTTTAAAAATAAATTTCCCAAAGTTGTAATACAACTTTGGAGATAAACTCTTTCCAATCCAAAGCAATTATGAAATACACAATCTTCTATAAAAGCCCTGTTACGAATATAGCTTAGAGAATTTGGGATTGTAATTTTTTCCAATTCGGTTTTACCTGTCAAAGCAGAACAAATCATGCGTTTTCACATCAATTTAATCGGAAGAAATTCTTAAAGCTATTAATGGAAAATAACCGTAACATATAATTCAAAAAATCGGGCATGTCACTTTTATATAATACATTTGAATTTTTATTCACCAACAAGTATATTTAAAATGAATTAATTTGAAGAATTTTTTACGGTTTTTCACCTCTGAATTTTTGAATTCTTTCAATCAACAGTTTTCTAACAATACATTATTCCCATGAGATCATTCGAACGTAGATGAATTACTGGAGACTCAAAGATCCGAGTAAAGGTCATGAAAGTCTCAGTTCAGATGATAACTTCCAAAACTCAATTATTTTACATTACCCCTGCTCTTCAAATAATGACTGCACATACTACCAATCAGTTTTATTACCAGGTGTATACAAATTTAAAGTTTGGGGCGCTGAAGGCGGCGATGGATTGGCAAATGGCGCTTTCTCTCGTCAAACCGGAAAGGGTGGCTACTCGATTGGCGCTTATATAGTTAATCAGACAGTAAATGCGTACGTTTTCGTTGGTGGAAAAGGTGAAGATGCAACTGATCCATCAACTCGACCTGCAAAAGGCGGATATAACGGTGGTGGTGATTCACCACAGGATACAGATCCAAGCAATAATAATGATGCAGGGGGCGGGGTGGTGGTGCCACTGATATCAGAATCGGAAATGATGATTTAGACAGCAGAGTTATTGTTGCTGGTGGTGCTGGTGGCACAGGATTTGATACAAAATATTATAATATACAGCAGACTCCTTTTGGTGGAGGTTTGACTTCATCATTACCAAGATCCAACGGAAAAAACGGTACTGCTTCCTCCCAAACATCAGGGTATCAAAATGGAGATGGAGAACCAGGTATCCACGATGAATCACGTATTGGCACTTCTGGAGGCGGTGGTGGAGGTTATTTCGGCGGTCTTACAATTGTAGGTCCAACTGCTGGCCAGGCTGGTGGTGGTTCGAGCTATATTGATGGTGTTATTTCATACGGAAGCGTTGAAAAGAACGCAATCAACGAAGAAACTACAATGCCAGTTATAAACGGTTTCAGTGTCGGAAATAGCGGCCATGGATTCGCCAGAATCACTCTACTATCTAGATTTATCAATAATAAGAAGTGCGTTTCTTGTATTCAAAATTCATACTTCTCAAGTGACAAAAACATTCTATTTTATATTCTTTTGATTTCTTTTTCTTAAACAATTCAATTTTTGATATCTATTTCCCTAATAATTTGGGTTTCTATCGCACTTCCATGATTTTTGATGGCGAAAAAGTGACATTTTATGTGGGAGCACTGACATATTATAAAAATCAACAACTGAAAGAAAGAATGGCTGCTTTGAAGGCGATAGGATGTAGCATATCATGTGCTACATTCCTTCATGCTGCATAATATTTTTCATAGAAGAAAAAATTATTTTGAGAGATGATGTCACTTTTGCAAAAGTTTCGAAAATTGAATTTAGATATGAAAACTGAAATGTAAACATTCATTCAATTTTAAAACAACAAAAATTAATTTAACCCAATTAACATAGCAACAACATGATATGCAGCCATAGTACTGTCAAAATGGAAATAACGTAACAAAAAATTTTTTTGCAAAGGAAAATAAATCAAAAAAAGCTTTGAAAATGTCTGAAGATCCTAAGATACCATCAAGTATCGGACCCTACACTTTCAAGCAGACCCTCGGACATGGAGCATTCTCAGTTGTGAAATTGGCTATTCATAATGTAACGAAACAACAGTTCGCATGTAAAATTATCAAGAAAACTGCCCTAAGTAAAGATAACAAAGCAGAAGAAAGATTCGAACTAGAGACAAGAATCTTACAGCAAATGAGACATCCCAACATAGCTCAATTGTTCGACATTATGGCAGATGGAACTTTTTTTTACGTGGTTTTGGAAATCTGTCCAAATGGAGAGCTTTTTAAGTTCATAATTCAGAATAAATTTCTTCCTGAGAATGAAGCTAAAATGTATATGAAACCAATTGTTGAAGCACTCAAATACATTCACGATTTAAAGGTAGTTCATAGAGATTTAAAGCCAGAAAACATCTTATTAGATGATAAAAACAGACCAAAAATCACAGATTTCGGCTTTTCTCGTTATGTTTTACACGATCAATTATTAAAAACGACTTGTGGTTCTCCTTGTTACGCATCACCAGCTTGTATCGCTGGAAAAGAGTACGACGGGTTTAAAAACGATATTTGGGGGCTTGGCGTTATCTTTTTCGCTACTGTAACAGGTCAATTACCATGGACTAAAAAAATCGAATCAGAACTGTTTGAACAAATCAGCAGAGCAGAATATACAATTCCATCATACATATCAGACGATTTACGCGAACTTATTTCTTCAATGATGAATATCGATGAATCTAAACGACCTACATGCGATCAGATATTAGCAAGCCCATGGTTTGCAAATGCAGATGAAACATTACCACCTCCTCTTCAACCACAAGTTGTTTCTCTAAAAGCACTTGATATCTTTTTCAACAGAGAGCTTTCAAAGCTAAATGTCGAGTTTCGTGTTCGCAAATGTACATCAAAGACATATACAGAAGCTGAATTAAATTCAATATTAAATCGCCAAGAAGCGAAAAACATGCCGCCGATTAATGAATCAAATAGAAAAGGGCGTTTACCACCTCGTGCTATTGATATGTTAGTTCATAAAGGCCATAGATACTCTACTTCACCGAATGCTTCACCAACAACGCCTCCTTTAGCTCCGAAGCAAAAAATTATTAAGCCAAAGACTATGTATCATTCTCAGGCTCCAAAATTAAGAACTATTCTGCGCCATTAATCTTATATTTTATTCATGTTATTTTTTATGTTAGTAAATATTCTTGTTTTGTTTTTAATCACCCAATAAGCACACTAAGCACATAAAATACACACAATCTATAAAGTGATATTAATTTCAGCTAAATGCAATAAAGCATGTGGTCATGCTTATCGATGAACACATTACATATCCATAAAAGTACTAGTTCTTCAATAAACTATGTAATTGCCATTGAAAATGAGAAACATCATGTTGAAAAAACGTATTTTATTACGATAATATTCTTCAGAAAAGATGATCGTCAAAAATTTAATGAAAAGATTTTTAGATTCCTTGAAAGTACATGTTGATGAATCCGTCAATGATCATAAATTAGTAACGCAGCAGTTCAATGATATTAATGTTCAGTGGAAAACTCTATCAAAAACAGTAGATAGAAGTATTAATGAGTCATTAAGGCCTAAAAAGAAGCGTTCACATTCTGTTGCAAATAGACATACAAACGTATACAATCAATGGCTTCAATACGAGCAAGAAGCCCAAAAACCGAAACCAAAATATACGCCTGCTTCACAATATCCAGTACCAATGCAACCAAGAGTTTTTAAACCAGTTGTTAACTCATTTAATGCGGAAAGAGTTGCAAAACTTGCAACAATGCGGCCAATTCAAGTTAGAGCTGAAACACCACCAGAGATTCCTGATGACTCTGCAAAGGTTCCAAAAATTGATGTCGAATGTCTAGCAAAGAAATTGAATGAATGAAATAACGAAAATAAGATCTTTCAATCATGAAAATTTCTTAGCAAAACTACACCAATACAATCACTTTATTTTACTAATTTATTTGTTTGTTCTACTGTATCAATATTCCACTCGGAATATACTATATATTGGTTTAAAATGTTGTTATTTATGCTTTTTTTCATTATAACTCCTTTTTAATGCTTTTCATCATATTTTGAAATCAACTTCATGCAAAATTACATTCATTTTATATATAATACCAAATTAAAATCTTTTTCGTCTTGAAAATGAGTTAATAATATGTTCCAAATAAGGAGAATGCCCAAAACAATACACTCAACTTCTATTTTAGTTATCAAGACCTGTAAATCATATTTGAACTACCTATTTTGACGGAATTTGTTTTTATATCGATTGAAAAGTGTAAAATAGAAGTTTTCGATAAAGTTTAATAGTAAAGCTACTAATTAACGTGTGTTAAATTTAATTTTTAGAAAAATTAGAAATAATTATTAAAACATAATGGAAAACTTTAAAATTAGAAGGTAATTTATATATTACAGCTTGTCATCAACATTGTACCTTCTTGCCATATCATCAAGATTCTTCTGCTTTCTTGCATCTTGTTCTTTCTTTTGTTGCATTCTCTTCATTCTCTCTTCTTCTCTCTTTGAAGCTTCTGGAGAACGGAAGATGATTGCAACTGCAATCAAAAGTCCGAAGAAACCAAAGCCAATGATGGTTGGAAGCCAATCTTGAGATGCGAAGAATGATTCATCGCGGTAAAGCTTGACAGTTGTCTTTTCGTTTGTTTCAGTATCGGTGAAAGTAGCCTGAGCTTCTGTTGATTTAACAATTTCGAACAAATAACGGAAGTTATCAGCTGTACCACGAGCTTCGTACTTTGTAAGGAGGTAGAATTCAATGCTTGTGCTGAATGCAGATGATTCAATTGTAGCTGAGTTACCATTTGAATCCCATGTAATTTCAGCCTCATAGTATGGTTCCTTTGATGAAGAATCTGGATAAACGCCCATTTTCATAAGGCCTGTTCTTTTGCTAACAAGGTTGAATCGAACTTCGACAAGTTCGTTTTCCTTATCATCAGTATTACCTTTTGAATCAGTTCTAGAGATCTCTGCGTTCCATTTACCGACTAAGAGATCTCTTGCTGGTCCAAGATTGTCATCATCTTTTGCATAAATTGCAGAAATGAAGAAAAAGGAAATCATTTTGTCACTTTTTATCCAATCAATCATAGCATCTTTACTGTAATTAGGAACAGATTTGGCCAAGCCAATTGAATTAAGTTCGATTTTCATTACTTTTGTTTCATCGATGTCAATCAATTCATATTTCGTTTGCAAATTAGCTTCATATTTGTCTGATCTTTCATATTTAAATCAACATATTGAAAAATATATAATTACCATCGTGAAATGTATATTAAATTTAAATTATAATAGCAAAATTGGTTATCTCATAGCTATCTCAGCCACAGGAAAATTCTTTACGGATACATGAATACACACGAGCTAGTATGCCAAGATTTTGCAGATTAATATGGTCTCTGGTGCTGGAATTAATCTTGAATAATATCTTAATATTGGAATTAGTGTCCTCAAATACAATCGCTCTATCTCATTAATATTAGTATAAAGGAATCCTCATATCCGAGAAAATAAATTTATCGAGTCATTCCATCCACTATCGTATGAAAATAAAATCCAAAGAATTTTTTATGAAATTTATATTCACTCATGAATTATGAATATCTCAATTTTTTTTTCTCCGGAGTGATATAAAAAGTAAATCAAATTTGAAACGAAAAGTGATAAACCTGAAAGTGATTAAAAAATGCATTTTTGTAACTATAAACAATCAATAGAAAAAATACAAACAGCTAAACGATCACATATCGAGGCAATGGATGCTTTAATTTCTACAACACTGAAGTTTCTTACTGCTGCCGAAATTTTTGAAAATGAAAATCTTTTGCCTTACTCCGAAATATTAAATATGCTTCAAGAGCAAACAAAAGTCCAAGCCGAGATCTCAAATGTTTTACCTTTGTTCATTTCAAACGATGTTAATTCACCAACTGCTTACGATGCAATCCGTAGCTTCTTCCAAAATCATTTCCTTCCCGAATTAAAGAACATAAAGTCGTACTATGTTTCTACATTTGATAATGATTTCTCAGCTATTCAGAAAATGAGTACAGAATTAAATGTTGTTGAACAAAATTACAAAGCAGCCGATGCTGAACATCAGAAACTCGTTAATAATTTAGAGAAGCATCATGGCAACAAGAAACAAGAAGATCTCTTCAATACAGAAGCTTTTCAATATAAAACAGTCCGCCAAGCATGTGTAGATTCTATTGATGCGTACAATAAAAAGAAATACGAATACGAACTAGAATGTGATAAATTCTTTTCAAAATACGAAGAATTGGAACATTCAAGAATGGAAAAAATGAAAATTTTATTCCTAAACTTATCGGAAGTGCTTACGAAGGGCTGCGAAAAAGCAAAAGATCTCGGGCATAATATAAATTCGGCTTACGACAACATAAAATGCAGTATGGAGTACGATGAGATCATTAAATACGAAGTGTTACGTAAAACTCATCTCCCTGAGAAACATAATCCCATTAAAAACGAATTCTCTTTCAATATCTACGAATTCATTGATCCATCCAAGATTTTCACTTCAGAGCTACATGAAACGTATGCGATATCCCAGATCGACATCCTCGTAAACCAGACAAAATTGGCGTCCGTTGGCGAAAAAGTTAAAGTTATTTCAGAAGAAGACGGATATCTCTTATATAATCAGGATAAGACGGTCAAGACCATAGTGGCAAAAGATCTATTTCAGGTGCCGGAGAAATACAAACGATACATTGCCAAAATCGTTGACGAAGAAAATCCATCAAAAAACACTGTTTGCGTTTTGGAAACAGATGAAAATTGCCAGTGTATCACCATGGATAAGGAAATCATATATGTGCCGTTAGAAAAGATAAAAAAGTTATAACGATGTAATTTTACGTAATGTTCTCAAAATTTGATTACGTAAAGTTCTGAAAAAAATTTTTTATCTCAAAAAAACAGTAGTTTATTTTTATATGGCGAAATATGAGATTCCTGCAGAAGTATACAAAACGGCCATGCCAATTATACATTTACAATCGGTTCTTGCGGATATAAACGATGAAAATATCGAAGAATCGAAAGAAATTATCCTGAATTTGAAATTAACGAAAACTCAAACAGGACTTGTTTATATATGTCAAGATATTTTGTTTAATGCTAAAATACATTTTAATAAGATTGATATTTACTCGAAATTCGTTCTGGAACTCTGCAAAGATATTCCAAATTTACAACAGTTAGTCAACGCAAAATTATTACTACCTGCCACCGATTCTCGCACGAAATGCGTTCATTTACGCATGCTTCGATACTTTTTCGAACATGAAACGATCTCACTTGATGAAATCATCACCGGAATTGCAAACTTTCCGGAACAGTTATCGAATCAGTACATGTTGTTTTTCTTGGTCTTTGGCAAATTTATTGAAAGAAAACATCCAGACGTTTTTCGTGAAATATGCGTCAAAGTAAAGAACTTAAAAGGACTCGGACCAACATACACAAGCTTAAGGAATCATGAATTCCGTGAAATAATTACACGATCGGCTGAAAGTGATTTCAAATGGCAAATTCCAGAAGAAACCATATTATATGGTTATGTTAAAGAATCGATCCCTTACTACATACGCTCAAATAACTACCAATATGTTCGTAACCTCAGTCAACAGCAACTTGATGATTTATACGACTTTTCTCCGTTCGATCCAATACCATTTGAGAGCGGAAAGTGTACATTAACTCAGCTTGCATCAATTTCTGGCTCATTCAAATCTCTGAGGCATATAATGTCCATGAAGGCTAAGATTCGCAATACAGACTCGAACGGAAACTCTCCAGCTCCTTATGCAATTGCTGGAGGATCCATGCCCATAATCAAATCAATTCATGAAAGAATGATTGAAATGGATGATTTTCTTCCTTTAGCTGCTCATTGCAGAGCTATTGACGCTTTTGAGTATATCTTGTCATTGATTGACGATGAGACAAAGAAGAAAGAATTGTTGAACAAGAGCTTACTTGAATGCGCTACTACAAACAACCTTGCAATCTTATTAGTTTGTATTTCTTATGGAGCATCATTGAAAACAAAGAACAGTGAAGGACAAACAGCTATTCATTTAGCTGCTTTGAATGATAACTTGTTCATTGCTAAGATTCTTTCAATGCTTCCGAATTTCAATCCAAATGTTCAAGATGATGCTGGTGATACTCCATTACATCTTGCTGCTAAGCAAGGTAATATTGGAATTATCAATTTCTTGATAGGTTTACCTTCAATTAAGAAAGATATCAAAAATAATTATGGAAAGACTGCATTAGATGCCACAAAAGAATAAATGATTTGTTTTATATTTTCTTGATTTAACAAAAATACTAACCAAATCTTTCAAACTTGAAAATAAGGAAAATTATATTTTTTGAATCTAACTTTTATATAATGTTTATTAATGAATTGTTTAGTTCTAGTAAAAATAGCAGTTTTAAAACTCTATTCTTTATATATACAAACAAAATTTAATAAAATTATTCAGCATTTCTTTCTTTCAAGAGATTTCTAATCTCATCAGAGTTAGCCAAACAGAGAGGAGTCATTCCTCTTCCTGTTTTAGCATTAACGTTGATATTTGGTGCACATAACAACGCTTTAACACATTCTACATCATTTTCTTTAACAGCGTGATGTAGAGGACACCAACCTCTTTGGTCTGGCAAATTTACATCAACTTTGCCACTTTTTGCCAAAATTTCTAGAATTTCGGGTTTCTTTTCAATTAAACATATATTTGGAAGATATCTTCCATAGCTATCCTTTACATCAAAAGAAGCTGTCGTTCTTTCAACAAATTCTCTAATTTTTTCGATATCTTGGCAAAGAAGCAATCTATGGATTGGTGTTTTACCTTCTCTATCTAGTTTTGATAAAACTGTCTTTCTATCATTCTCTGATAATATTCTTAGAAGACTTTCGAAAATAAATACGTTTCCACTTTGAGCGGCGTGATGCAGAGCAGTTTTTCCTTCATTATCAGCTAGTTTAGGATCAAGATTAGCTATATTTAGTAGTAAACCTGCAATTTCTCCCTTATCATCAATATCACAAGCGTAAATCAACGGAGTTTTACCTTTTTTATCTTTCTGGTTAACAGAAGGATAAATATCCTGTTCAAGTATGAGATTCACAATATCTTTGAATGAATTTGAAACAGAAATGTGCAAAGCATTCATTCCTTCGTTATTTTGGACTTTTGTATCAGTGCATTGCATTCTAAGTAAGTAACTAACAATATCTATATAACCATTCTTGATTGCGATCAAAAGAGGAGTATCTCCGTTATTATCTTTCGCATTTATCAAAGCTTCTGGAGATTCCAGCTTTTTCATTTGTAGTTCTTCTTCAGAATCATCTTTAGGAGTTCCAATTTCTTCGATACTATCAATTCTGTATAAATCTAATGTCATGAAGTCCCAAGATGGAGCTCTCTGCAATTCTGAGTCAGAATACATCTTCGAGACAAGTAAAGAAATGATTTCGACATTATTTTTCGATGCGGCAATGTGTAATGGCATTTGTCCAAAAGAATTTTTAATTGAAAGCTTAATTCCTTCGATTTTTAGTAAAGATTGTATCATATAGATATTGCCATGGTTAACAGCGATATGTAGTGGCGTATTTCCTTGATTATCTTGCGTATTTATGTTGATTTTGTTTAATTTTATTATATAATCAATTAAAATTTGGCTTCCACCGATTGCACTGCCATGCAGAATTGTACTGCCAAAAGAATCTCTTACAGTTGGATCCACTTTAAGACCATTAAGTAGAAATTTAAATACATCTAAATCTCCTATTCCTGCAGCTAAAATAATTGACTTAGAAAAGTCTACTCCCTTATCTGCTAAAACTTTTATAGCAAATAAGTGCGAGCCTGTAACAGCAAAGTGTGAAACATCACGATAAAGCGCATCTTGCTTTGTTAGATCAATTCCGTGTGCGAGCATGTAGTTTAAACACTGCATAGATCCGTAATAAGCAGTTATGTGAAGAGCATAAGGTGAATCTCGCAAAATTTTTGGAACATTTTTGCTATTTAGATGAAATTGATAAGAGTTGCAGATGTTGAGAGGCATCTTTTTCAAAAACACCTCGAAATCATCTGTAGACAAAACCTTGAAAGCGTCCTCTTCTGAGAGGAGCATTTGATTTTTAATTTTTTTTTGTAACAAAATGAGTCAATGTTCCCCAGGATTGATAACCCAAGCACATAACAAAGCAAGAACATTTTAGATATCAGCTATATAAATGCAACATTACTTTAAAATACGTAGAAATGCACTACAGATTTGAAAACTGCAATACAATCCGGTTGGTCTGAGTATTTTAATGATAAAGATAGATTCAATCAAACACAAAGCGGAATTGTATTATATGACATTTCAAGTTCTCTTAATTACTACGTTTATTATTGTATTTTTTACGAATGCAAAGAAAAAGGTGCAATTTATATCGAAAGAACAAACGACATATGTACATTACTTGAAGATACCGTATTTACTAGATGCAAATCCACTGATAAAGGTGGATCTGTTTACTATTCCTGCTCTGATTTTGGACAGTTTGTTCAACAACGAATTTGTTATTTTGAATCAATAACAAAAAGTTCTCAAATGTCATTTTTTCAATGGGTTAGGTCTTCTCCTAATTATAAAAACTATGCTTTTCAAATTTCGGTTTCGAAATGCGGAGAAAGTGAATCAAAAGGAAGTGACACATTTAGAATTTCATGGGGTGATCTACGTTTTGAGAATAACAACATCACTTACAATAAATGCAGTGAAAAATCATCAATATTTAGTGTCCTTCAAGGAAAATCAAGTACATGTAATTTCTCAACATTCAGAGAAAACAACCAAACTAATAGTTATTCTCTTGCATTTGACAGTAATTCTCCTTATTATATACAAACAGTTTCTTATTGCAATGTTATTGGAAATAAATGCGGAACAGACAGTGACCAAGTTCTATTTGATAGTAGATACAATACTAATGTTGATCACTGCGTATTTTTAAATAACACTGCAGTATATATGTTTCAAGTTGAAGACGAAGGTTACAAAATGACTATTACTGATTCATATGTTCAATCAAAGTCAACAGCAAATATAGGATCAGGAACTGTTACATTTAAAAATGAAAAAAGTAATTCTGATCTAAATCAAAATTCTCATTTTTATACAGAAGTTTGTTTCATAGAACAAAATCAAATCACTTTTATATTACCTTATTTATCTAAATTTTCAGAAACGCCTTCAAATTTCTTTTGAAATAAAATTTAAAATTTGAATTTTCTAAACAACACTTCGAAAGGTACGCATTTGACTTTCTGGCGGAAGTCATATAATTAATATACTATGAGTTTCTCTCAATAAGTCGAATTCTCTTTAAGCCAATTCTTGGAAGCCTATTTTATCAAAATATTCATTACTGTTATTGTTCATTGGATACCCTACTATTGCTCAATTTTATTTGAAAAAACGAACTCTCAAAAAATTTACAATGGATGCTTATCATGAACGACTGAGATTAATTGAGGATTGTATTAAATCATTTACAAACGATGTCGAACAGGATATATTTATCCCACAAATGAACGTTCATCAGACATCCATAGAATTCATTCCACAAAGAATGATTCAATTATTTGAACAATATATCAAAAATGATCAGCATGCTCAAGTTGATGTTGCCCAACGAAAAATCATTCAATTACAACATGATATAGATGACACAAAAGTTTTTATTGATCAAGCAAAGCGAGAATCTGCACAAAGATTTAATACTTACGTATTACAATCATCAGAAATCCGACGTGCACATAAAAAAATACAACATCAAGTTGCTAAAATACAAGATTCACTTGATGAAAAAGTATTAGCCGAGGAATTACGTCTTCGCGACTTAAAACGTAGAAAAGCTAGAATGAATGAGCAATGCGCTATTATAAAGAATTGTGCAAACGATATAAGACAAAATTTGAATTCGTTAAAATCTTTTATCGATCAAAATTCTTTTGAAAATCAAAGACAAATAAACGATTTCAAACATAATCTTGAACTTAAAATACAGAGCAAGCTATTTATTGCTAAAAACAAAGCGCAAAATGATGCAGAACAAAAAATTCGAAAACTTCAAGCAGAAGAGATAGCAGCACGTAATGAAACAAAGAAGATAGAAGATTTTCTTAGAGGTTTACTTATAACATTTGGAGAAAATCCAACTTCTTCGCCTCTAAATTTAAATGTACCATTCGATGCTTATTTATCGGATATTATTGAGAAATCAATTGATAAGAGAGTATCAGAAGTTACAAAAATTAATGAAAATAGAAGATTAGTCGCTCAAAAATATAAACAATTATATGATGATGCAATTTTCAAGAAAGAAGCAGAAGTTAATACTCGCCTTCAAGAGGCTAAAGCAAGAGAGAATGCATTGATTGAGAAAATCAAAGAAGCAACTGCAAGGTTCTCTGCTGCTTCACAAATTAATACTACTACATTTTCATTTGGTGATACAACTATTGATAGCTCAATTAATACTCTCTCCTCTATCTATTCTCCAAAAAAGTGAAAGATTTTTTACATCAAAATTTAACAGAATGATGTAATATGTTTGAAAGAATAACCTAAGTATAGTAACTATATTATTCCAAGTTATACCTTTTGTTTTGCTTATAATATTTTGTGTATATTTTATTTAACTTGTTTATTAAATTTTGCATTTGTTTAATTATAGTTTACATCGAATCTTTTACAATGGCATTAGTATTATTGTCCAATAATAACATTGTTTGTTCAATAATGTTCCCGCTTGCATTCAATTTTTGAATGCATTTATGAAATTATACGGAAGATTAATTAAAGAAAGGACAACAAAAGTCCATCGTGGTCTCAAATGCAGATAACACAGATAAAAATCATGGTTATTAATTCATTACTTATTATCCCCTGATATCATGCATTGTTTGCAATAATTTTGAAGGCGATTATTCAATAAATATCATTTTTTCATCTATCATCAGATCATAGGTGATATGCATATGTTAATTTTTAAGTCAGTCATATCTAAAAAAATTTCATCGCCTTTTACTTTAGGGGTGTGAAGAAAAAAAATTTGAAATGAATCTTTCTAAGGCCGAGTGCGAAGCAATCTTCTCAGAAACATTTGAGCGTAATTTCTCGGTCAGTATCAACGGCGAGCACCACGTGAAAAAAAAATGCGTATTGAACGCTCTTCTTTTATGTATTGCTGATTTAGAGAAGTTGGCACCATCAATCTACATCTGGCTTCCAAACTGGTCTTTCGCAGTAGAAGCGAACCCCAATCACAAGACAATCGTCATGACAGAAAAAATACATGATCAACAATATAAAATCAAAATAAAGTCAAAGAAGCTCGATATTATCGATGCCTGGAATGCTAAAATGCTTTCATACCTAGAAACCTTTAGAGACATTGAGTTTGGAAACGCCCAATTCCCCGTCAAAGGCACGGTCGATGGAAAGGCCCTCCAATTGAAGCTCATGATGACACCGTACGAATTCACTGTTACTGACCGTGAAGGAAATGTCATGTTCGAAGCAGACCGTGACGAAAATACAAGGATTCATATTCCTGAAGATCACACTGCAAGAATGCAGCTGCAAAACGATTACAAATCAATTACAGTCAAATTTGCTGAAGATGTCAAGCTCGGTGTCGCTTTACTTATTTGCAATTCCAAAGTTCCAGAAGTTCCAGTCCAAACTCTCATCTCAATCGATGATGTTGATGTTCCAGAGCTCAACATGTCACTCTCCGATTTTGCACCAATTCTCGATAACCCAGGAATGGAAAGTTCGATGATGAGCATGGGATCAATGGCCAGCATGCCGTCTCTTATCGGACAATCCGAGAGCAACTTCATCATGAAGGATTTGGCCGAAATTCGTGACGAAAGAAAGAAGAAGAAAGGAATGATTATTGATGACACAGATCCAGAAGTTATCAGAAAGAACTTGGACCGCAAGTATCGTCAGTTGGTCAAGAAGATCACAATTGCTCAAAGCAATGATCCAAACGAACAACTTGATTTACTTGCAGCAAATCGTAAGGTTCCAAAGCTCACAAAGCAGCCAGCTGACATGTATGAGTTCCCAGATTCCGAAATGGGTGCTCCTCTCTTCCAGAATACCGATCCAATCTACATGGAAACGAAACCATTAACTCATGAGGAGCCAATCAACCTTTTTTACGAATTCAACTTCGATTCAGCTGTCCAGAGATTGAAGAGACTTCCAGAAATGAAAGATTTCGAAGCTCCGGACAAAAAAGACGCGATGCCATTTACAGAACTTGTTAAGACCATTATCCATAACACAGAATGGGCCGAACGTCCTCTCTGTGCTGCTGGTATCCTCTTACAAGGCAGAAAAGTCTCTATTGAAGAGCTTTACAAGAATTTGAATGAAGTTTCGTTCTCTATCTTCGAAATTCAAAAGATCCTTCGCGAAATGAAGGTTACAAATGAAGAAGAGTGCGTTCTTATGTTCAATGCTCTCTTCAAAGAAAATCTCGTATACAATTTTTATACAACCTTAGAAACATCAATAGTCTTCAAACGCGATACTTACGAATGCGATGCTCTTGTCGTATGTCCTAATTTCTGCCTTGAAGTCGGTTCTCTTTTCGATTCTCCGGTTATGGATTGCAAATACAAGACTTTACCATTCGCAGCTGACATTATTCCACATGTACGCATTGCCAACTACATGCGCGAGATGAAGACATCCAAATACGTTGATTGCATCGAGCAATCAGAGACTGATGAGATTATGCCACTCGACAGGATTCTTTTCGCTCTTGTTTACCTTCTTGGCGATGGACCTGATACACAGCTAAGAAATATCTGGTTCAATATCGAAAAAGATGAAAAGATTGAGAAAGGTGTCATTTACGGTGTAACTCCTGAACAAAAGGCTGTTTATTTCCTTCTCGATCTCATCAGAAAGAACAAATTATCACACCACATAATTTACGCCATGGAAAATTCGAGATATTCAGAACTCGCACAAGAAATGATTTATACTGCTGACCAGGTTATCGATTTGAACAAGATTCTCGAGTTCAAGGAGAATGACAAATTTGCTGAGAATACAGCTAGACATATTCTTCAATTATTTGATGGATTTAATAAATGATTCTTTTTTGATTTTATTCTAACCATATAATATTTATCTATAACTATCCTTTCAATTCTTTGATACAAAATTTCAATATTTTTCAGTTCCTTGATGAAACCCGAATAATTATTACTTGAATATCATTACATTAAGATGGACTATAATTTTATGTTAGAATGTCCTATTTATTTATCATATGCTTGTCATAAGGCGTATCCGTGTTTAAGTTTATGATAGCAGATACATGTAATTTTACTAAGTACCTATTTCTAAGTCTTGTATCTGTATAATGATAAGAATTAACACTAGTTTCTCTTCGAGCTAAATATATATTGAGAGCACAATTGGGATTACTCTTGCTGAAATCTGATTCAATTATGTAGTGTAATTGATTCCATACCTAAATTCTAAAAATTATTGAACTCAGAGAAATTTGGTTAAAAATTTATTATTTCATAATTATGACCCATAACATGGTGGAAATCTATTTCCAACCGCATTGGATTTGATCCCACGATTGAAGAGAGATATGAATTGGAATTGGCCCACTTTGACAACATGTCAGTCTAGAATGTGGTAGAGAATCGCATGGCTGTACTGATTGTATTCCCTAACTTGGGAAGGAAATCTGGGAAAAAAATTGTGTAGCCAACTTTAAAATTTTCTATTAATACTCATTTCGTCTTAAAAAGGCATTGCGAGATTAATTTGCGATTTTTAACTCCAAACAAATATAAGAAATTGAATGGACTATCGTTTTTTAAGGATTCAATTCACTTTAATTGAATGTTAGGATCAGTCTCCAGATCTTACTTCAAGGGCCATTACCTCGATACACAAGCTACAAGTGTCTTAGACCCAAGAGTTTTCGATACTATGATTCCTTACGAAACATACGTTCACGGAAATGCACATTCCAAGCAACACGGCTTCGGCCAAGAGGCCATGGCAGCTGTTGAGAAGGCCAGAAAGTCCGTTGCAGATCTTATCAACGCAAAGCCAAACGAAATCATCTTTACATCCGGTGCTACAGAGTGTAATAACATTGCAATCAAAGGCGCCATGGGATATTTGAAGAACAGTGGCAAGAAGCATGTCATTGTCTCATCTATTGAACATAAATGTGTCATTGAGTCAGCTCGCGCCCTCCAAAAGGAAGGATTTGATGCAACTTTCCTCCAGGTTGGCAAAGATGGCCGCGTAGATCCAAAGGAAGTCGCAAAGAACATCCGCCCAGATACAGGCCTCGTTTCTTGCATGCTTGTCAACAACGAAATTGGTTCCATCAACCCAGTTCAAGAAATTTCCAAGATCTGCAAGTCTAAGGGTGTCTGGTTCCACACAGATGCCGCCCAAGGCTTCGGCAAGATCCCAATCGATGTCAAGAAGATCGGAGCCAATTTCATGTCAATTTCCGGCCACAAGATCCATGGTCCAAAGGGCATTGGTGCCTTATATGTCTCCAGCCGCCCACGTTCACGTGTTGAGCCAATCATCAACGGCGGTGGCCAGGAAAGAAACATCAGATCAGGCACACTTGCTGTTCCTCTTATTGTTGGCTTAGGCAAGGCAGCAGAGATTGCCAAGCGTGAGATGAAGTACGATTCTCCATACATCGAATCCCTCGGCAAGCATTTGATCGAAGAAGTTACAAAGCGCATTCCATACGCAACAGTCAACGGTTCTCTTGAACACCGCTGGTTCGGATGCGTCAACATTTCATTCGAAGCAGTCGAAGGTGAGTCACTTATGGCCACAATTCCAAACTTCGGTGTTTCATCAGGTTCTGCTTGCACATCTGCTTCTCTCGAACCATCATATGTTCTCAAGGGCATCGGTGTCGGTGATGAACTCGCACATACTTCCCTTCGTATCGGTATCTCTAAGTTTACAACAAGAGAAGAAGTTGATCAGTTTGTTGAACTCCTTGAACACGCTGTCAAACACCTTCGTGACCTTTCTCCACTTTGGGAAATGAAGATGAGCGGAATTGATCTTTCTCAGGTCGAATGGATCCAGTAATTTACTTACTAACATTTCGTCTCATTTTATGACGAAAAAATCTTTCCTTTTTTTGAATTTTTTTGAATATAAATGAAAATTTTTAAAAATCTTTTTTAAAATTTGATTTTAATCAGAATTGTGGGAAGGGAAATAGAATTCTAGTTTTTTTTCCCCAAAGAACAAATTGAGTCAATGTTCACCAGGATTGATAACACAAGTACAAAAAAAAGCAAAAACTTTTAAATATCAGCTAGATAAATGCAATATTACTTTAAAATACGTAGAAATGCACTACAGATTTGAAAACTGCAATACAATCCGGTTGGTCTGAGTATTTTAATGATAAAGATAGATTCAATCAAACACAAAGCGGAATTGTATTATATGACATTTCAAGTTCTCTTAATTACTACGTTTATTATTGTATTTTTTACGACTGCAAAGAAAAGGGCGCAATTTATATCGAAAGAGATAACGACATTTGTACATTACTTGAAGATACCGTATTTACTAAATGCCAATCCACTTTAAGTGGTGGATCTGTTTACTATTGCTGCTATCATTTAGGACAGTTTGTTCAACAACGAAATTGTTATTTTGAATCAATAGCAAAAGATTATCACATGTCATTTTTTCAATGGGTTAAGTCTTCTCCTAATTATAAAAACTACGCTTTTCAAATTTCAGTTTCAAAATGCGGAGTAAGTGAATCAAAAGGATATGATACATTTTTTATTACACGGGGTGATCTACGTTTTGAGAATAACAACATCACCTACAACAAATGCAGTCAATATTCATCAATATATAGTATTCTTGATGGAAAATCAAGTACATGTAATTTCTCAACATTCAGAGAAAACAACCAAACTAATAGTTATTCTCTTGCATTTAGTAGTAATTATGTTTCATATATACAAACAGTTTCTTATTTCAATGTTATTGGAAATAAATGCAGTACAAACTATGACCAAGTTCTCTTTTATTGTTATTTCAATACTACTGTTGATCACTGCGTATTTTTAAATAACACTGCAGTATATATGTTTCAAGTTGAAGACGAAGGTTACAAAATGACTATTACTGATTCATATGTTCAATCAAAGTCAACAGCAAATATAGGATCAGGAACTGTTACATTTAAAAATGAAAAAAGTAATTCTGATCTAAATCAACTTTCACATTTTTATACAGAAAATTGTTTCATAGAACAAAATCAAATCAGTTTTATATTACCTTATTTATCTAAATTTGCAGAAACTTCATCCAACGTATTTCAAAATTTCAAAAAATAAAAAATACTATATTAAAATAGTAATTGTTCCATATTAAGTTCTGTCAAAATGTAAGCTATTCAATTCTATCGTCGGGGGAAGTATCACAAATCTATCAATTTTTTTGTAAAAGTATACAAAAACATATGGTGTTCAATTAGTTTATAATAATATAAATATTAAGATTATCCAAAATAAGAAAAACTAGGTTTTGAGAACACTTTTGAGATGATAATCAAAATATTTTGATTGAAAAATAATATATTATTTATCTGATATAGAATGGATTTTTTCAAATTTAAAAATTCTGAAAAATAAACAGTTTTGTAAAGTAAAAAAATGAACGAAAACTCGAGACCTCGTATTCCAAATGAATGGGTAAGATATATGTATGAAAAACTTGAAAGTGGTGAGTAAGGATGTCAATTTGGAAGAAAAGTGAGAAAATTTTGATTGTGAACTCATCTCTAATATTTTGGCTCCTTAATATATTTGAATCATGATCTTTGAGAAGAGTTCTCAAAAGTATTCACAAAAGCTATTTTTCCTTGAAATTTAAAAATCCTGTTTATCATATATTACCGAATTCAATTCCCTACATATTTCAAAATATTCTATGAACATTTCAATTTTTGAAAAAAACATATTTTTGCCAAATATATTTATTATCATATTTCTAATAATATTTCCTAAAGCGTCACTTTTTACTTCCTCGATGATTATTTCCCTCTCAAAAAATTCAATAGCTTACATTTTGACAGAACTTAATATGAAACAGTAATAACATAAATATTTAGTTTTATATTACCTTATGTATCTAGATTTATAGAAACTTCATCAACAATTTTATAATAACAAGTCTGTTATGATTAAGTTGAAATTTGTTATTCTCTTAAAGGTCTTAAATCCATGAAATAAGATGTTACAAATGAGAAGTGTAATTCAAAAAAAATAAAGAGATTTTAAAATTTTATATCAGAATCAAACCCTAAAAAGCATTCAGTTAATTCGTAAATAATCGAAAAAGTTTGAACAAATAGTTTATCTATATCTTAATGCTTGATATAGCTTATTTCTTGTCAATTTATTAAAAATTTCATATTATAAAGCAATAATGTATGTTTATATTTGATAGATTGGTCGAGGTTAACGATCGCGTTAGTGTGGAGGTGATAGGTTGTGGAATTTCGTAAGAATGTAAATTTAAATATTGAACGCAAAGATAAATTGAGAAATTCTAGAGACAGACATTCATGGTAAAGACCTATGAGTTGGGGTACTTCGTTGCAACAATAAATATTAAGTCTGGTTCAGAATTTTATAACACTTCATCTAAAAATGTTTTTGTTTTCTCAAATTTTTTTAAATTTGAGAAAACAACAATCGTTTTAATAAATTGAGAGATGCATTCATAAAATCGAATAAAATTTAGATCTAAATCAAAATTAAAATCCGAAAATTTTGAAAATATAAAATTGCAAAATAATGTGCAATATAATTTGTATCAATTGTAAAAGTGATATTTATCATACCCAAAGTCATTTTTTCTGATATCAGATTTTCTCAGATCCTTGTTTTCGAACTTTTATCGCTTTGGGAGGGCGCGAAGCGCCCTCCCAAAGCGAAAGAATCCAAAATAACCCGATTTTAAATTTTGAGATCGAAATCTCTAATTTTTCCCATATAATAACATACTTTTTAATAAAAAAATGGAGGGTACCAACTTTGCGGATCGAAGATCCGCAAAGTTGGTACCTAAAGCGTTATAGACTAATAACCCATGAATGGACAAGGCTGTCATGCACCAGTGTGTTATAACAGATCGATTTTATTTGAAATTTCATAAATTAATAATTATAATAAATTTGATATTCAGAGACGGCGCTACGCGCCTTTTAGCATTCTGGGCACTTACGTGCCCAAAATGCAAGATTGAGAAATTTGAAACTTCGTTTCAAATTTCTGCCTTGCTGTTAGGCAAAAAGAAAGTCAGTACAAAAAAAATTTTGAAATTGAGAATAAAAATAATATTGTGAGTTTTTGTGATATATGGATTTTTTAGAAGATTTTAGATATTGAAGTCCCAATTTATAAATTTTTTTTAAATTGAGAGGAATTTTAATAATATTATTTTATTTGATATTTGGATTTTTAGAAGATTTTAGAGATGTTTGTCTCAATTTAAAAAAATTTACAAAAAATGATCGTAAAATAATCGTTTTTGTTCAAATCCTTTTCATTTCGGGAAATTGAAGTTAAATATCAAAGAGATGGTCTATGCATATGTTAAATCAAATCATTAAAAAGTGTTTTGATGACTTTTTCTAACCGCAAATTGTCACTTTTTGATGTTTTAAAATTATTATATATCCTATATGCATTCCAGATGCAAATTAATATTAAAACTCCAAAATCGATTTTTGAGGGAATCAAATTTATCACATCTCATCGTTGTTCCGAATTAATATTTTATTTGTAATGTACATATTATCACAATTATATTTATCATATTAAAATTCAAAAATAATTTTTGAGTTTCAGATCTCCCTAATTTCCCATATAAATATATGTTTATTTTATTAAAAATAGAATGTCCAATTATTGATAAAAATCGATCCGCTTTTCTACCGGCCGAGCGGAGCGAGGCCGCAAAAGTGACATCGAGGTTTACATAATGGAAAATTTGAATTTTGAACATTCTTATTTGAAATCGCAAAATTCTTGTTTTGCATCAAACGAGAAGTTGCAATACCTCAAGTTTTGGTTCCACAAGCAACCTTGTTGTAAACAGAAATTCATCAAAAGTGACACCTCAGAAAAGCTAAAATATTGAATTTTTGGAACTTTTGATAGAGCACGTTTTTAAATATTAATTAAAGTAAATGTATATTTTGTAAAGATTCTTTTTAATAAAAAAATAAAATTTTGAAGAAGAACACAAAATCTTCTGAAAAATAATATCACATAAACTCATATTATTTTCTAATATATAACTATTTTATATAAAAATCAAATTCAATGATCTTAAAAGCGAAGGATAAACCTCAAAATTTACGAATATAATGAGTGGGAATATAATGCTTATCTATCATAAAACCATATGAAATATCAATTTTTGCTTTACGCCTAATTTTTGACGACAATTAGCAAAAAACGTTAAATGTTAACACTCAGTCCATTTGAATATGAAAAATAAAATTGACTTTGATTAAATGTTTTTATTTATCATGCAATTCTTCTTGCGACCAAAGATTTGAATAAAAGTTCAAAAAATAAGATAGCTTAAAAAATAATATACGGTAGTGTCTACTAATAGATGAATAGTATATAAATTCTATTAAAATGGATTTGATCCAAAAAAATATAAAACCAAAAATAATTGTTATAATTTAAATGAAGAAGTAATTTAAAACGATTTTATTTATGATCAAATTTTATATATTTTTTGGATCAAATCCATTTTAATAGAATTTATATACTATTCATCTATTAGTAAACACTACCGTATATTATTTTTTAAGCTATCTTATTTTTTGAACTTTTATTCAAATCTTTGGTCGCAAGAAGAATTGCATGATAAATAAAAACATTTAATCAAAGTCAATTTTATTTTTCATATTCAAATGGACTGAGTGTTAACATTTAACGTTTTTTGCTAATTGTCGTCAAAAATTAGGCGTAAAGCAAAAATTGATATTTCATATGGTTTTATGATAGATAAGCATTATATTCCCACTCATTATA